GGTGCGTCGGGGGGCACTGTGTTAACCACTGTGCCTGAGCAGGGCCGACAGGAGCAGGCGCAGATGCCGCCTTGCAGACCCCGGGATGGGCGTCAAGGACAGGGGCCAGCGCCCCGTCACCTCACAGGAGCGCACGCCAGGAAGATGCTGTGTGCAGAGACCCCGAGGCCCTGGGCTTCTCTCGCCCATGCAGCAGGAAATGCCTTTAAAGCTGTAAATAGACACCAGAACGAGGAAATGCTGTGTCACTGGATCCCCATAAATTTGAAAAATGGTCTTGGAGGAACCGCTGCTAAGCCTTGACCTGGGAGTGAGCAGCTAGGCCCCATGCCCGTGTTCAGGCCACGGTATGATTCAGCGAATAGGCGTTGTTTCAGCTGACAGTCAAAACTTCCAGTAGGTGGCTAACACTGGCTGAAACTGATTTTCACATATTTTTAAGAATCTCTTTGGTCCTTGTGTGCTTTCTGACCTTAACATCAGGCTGCCACACCTCAAATCCTAGCAGAGCTGAGGCACAGCTGGTAGATGTGTGATTCGCTGCCGGCCGGCCGGCCGCTTTCTGGTGGAACCCCAAACATGGGCACTGCTGTCCTGGTGCAGCAGCGGACGGGGGGGAGCGCCGTGGATGCCCAGGACCCTATCCCCTGCCTGGGCTGCACTGCATGGCGCCTGCGTCTTGGGCACGGGACACACGGGCCCACCCTGGGGGCCCCTTCCTTGTGTGCAGAGCACTAGGCTTGCCCATGGCCTTTTCTCTGTAGTTTAAACCTTTTCTTGGCACAACTCTGGGCCTGTCAGACACCAGACAACGTTCAGCTCTACCGAGTCCGCTGAAAACTGACTGGTGCGTGAGGCGCTGGGAGATGAACAGCCATTTCTGACTTCTTCCCTTTCGAGGGCTGCACGGCAGCGAGAAGTTCGGGGCTCAGGATCTCGGTGCTCCAGGGAAGCTGGGCGCGCGGGCCCTCTTGGGCATCTGGGAGCAGAGCTCTGAGAGGGCCCTTCCGAGGTGAGTCTTCACTCCCAGCGGACTTGCAGACCTGAGTCATGACTCGGTTTCTCCACCTACAGACTTGTTTCAGGGCAGGTCCTTGACGTGCATGCCGAGTCCTGGCAGTCCCGGAGCCTCGGAGCTTCATTTGTACCAGGAACTACTAGACCAGCCAGAAGGGGTGTTGTGGGGAAGCCCCCGCTGGGGTACAATGCCCTTCAGCATTCTTAGCCATTGGCCTCTGGGGATGCCTTCCCACGGTCTGTACCCGGAGCTGACAGATTTGTAAGGGTGACAGGAAGGAGGCCCCTCTGGCGACATGGAAGAGCCGGTGTGGTGGGACAGGGGCTGGGTCGGAGGTGAGCTTGCCCTCGGGCCCGCTGCCGGATTCCTGCTCTGGAATGTGTAGTGGGCGCTGTGTGGACCATGGGGTCCCTTCCAGCCCCAGAAACTGGTGATGTCCCCGCACTCCGTTCTCAGAGAGACAAGTCTGACCAGTCGTGCTGGGGTCCCATTGGGATCATTCACTCTCCGTGATTGTTTTCCCGGAATGAGGGGCGTGGGGCTGCCATGGGGATGTCCCAGGAGGTTTAGCTGAGGACTTGGGGCCACTGGGCCTTGTGTTCAGGAGTCTCCATTCCTTAACTGCACGGGGGGAAGCACGCGGGGTTGAGGCCAGACCTGAGTGGCGATGCCTGTCCCTCCGTCGTCCGGGAGGAGATGGCGGGTGGGCCTCCTCCTGCGCTTGTGCCCTCTCACTAGGCAGCTCCCAGCCCCGTGGGCCTGCTTCCTTCCCCGGGTCGGCGTGGGGACAGGATCAGGGGCTGTGTGTCTCAGGGCTTTGTCTGTCTTCCTCAGAAAACCTTTCTCTCAGGCTGTGCCCTCGGCGCCCTGTAACTGATGCACTTCCTTGAACTTTCAGTAGAGTTTCTGGAAGGGGTGGACAGAGGCTCCGCGCTTGCTCTGCCTGCTGCTGAGGGTCTCTGGCCCCAGGGTGCAGTCACAGGCTGCTTGGCAGTGTTACCGGTCCTAGGATACCAAGGAAGAGAGGCTAGAGGCTAGTGTCCGTCCCCTGCCCTCCAGAGATTTTGTGAAGCCCACAGCGTTGTTCTTAGAGCTCCATGTGGCATAACTTCCCTTTGGTCTGAATCTGTACAGCTGACTTGTGGGTCAGGACTGGCTGGGTAAAGAAACTGTGCAGCTGGAGCTAGTGAGTTTGTTTTATTGCTGAGTGTACAGAGCTGGGAGGATCATGAACTGTATCTAAACTAATGCCTCCCCATTATTCTAAAGAAGTTGACACAGAAACGTCCAGTCGCTCGTCTACGTTGCAGAGTAGGACTGGCGTGTGGCTGTGTGGGCATGACTGCAATCACTCCAGTGATGCCCACGTTCTCCGGGGCTGACCTGCTTGTTGTATGCCCACACCTGTGGGACGCTTGCTTTTAGCCTCATTAGAATCAAACATTTGTGCAGAGAATAAGACACTGGCTCACGTGGTCTTAACCTGCGGTTGCCAGTAACCAAGTCCCCTGTCCCGGCTGAGTGGTGAGCACAGTCAGGTGGAGGCATAACTTGTGGTGTCTGTGCAGCGAGCTGACTGGTCAGCAGGAACAGAGCCTTTTGGAAACGCGTGGCAGGTGCTTCCATCTCTCCCCCAGGGAACAGCCTAAGGGTAGCCTTCCTCCGGGCAGTGGCTCACCCCGAAGCAATGTCCCGTGGTGGCCCGGGCAGGTCCCGCTGCAGGCAGGTGCTAAGCTCATTTTCTGACCTTGTCCCAGGCCTGAGCAGTGCTTGGACCTGCCCCAGGCCCGGTGCTGTGGAGTGTTTGGGGTGTCAGTGGTCATGTGAGGACAACAAGCATCCAGGAGGCAGTGCTGAGGGTCGGGTCAGGGACGGGTCCTCTCTGTCCCCAGCTGGGTCAGGGTCAGGGTCAAGACAGGCCCACTCTGTCCCTCGCTGGGTCAGGGTCAGGGCCAAGGTCAGGGGTGGGTCCTCTCTGTCCCCAGCTGGATCAGGGTCAGGGTCAAGGTCAGGGACATCCTCTCTGTCCCCGGCTATGTCAGGGTCAGGGTCAAGACAGGTCCACTCTGTCCCTGGCTGGGTTAGGGTCAGGGTCAAGACAGGTCCACTCTGTCCCTCTCTGGGTCAGGGTCAGGGTCAAGGTCAGGGATGGGTCCACTCTGTCCCTGGCTGGCAGTGGCTCATAGGAAGATGTGTGCTTCTGGAGTCGTGTTGGGGCTGACAGCCAGCTGCTGGCTTTGAAATTTAAGAGAAGGGTTTTCACAGTTTTCACTTTTGTATTGAACATTGTATTTTATGCTTTTCTTTCCTTATCCGGCTCATTTAGCATGTATTGTTCTCCGCGTAACTCCCTGAATCCGCAGGAATGAGAAGCGCCCGTCTGGCTGTGTTCTGAGAAATGAAGGGAAACCAGGGATCTTTTCTATTTTCTTAACTTTCACGCTGAGATATTTGTTTGGGAAGCTCTTCAAGTTTTAAAGTCAACATCCCATCCTGGCAGGCTCACCCATGCTGGGAAGGTGGCAGGGAGGGCGCCAGGGTGGTGAGGGCAGGGGTGGTGGCCTGTCCTGCAGGGTCACCCTACTCTATGGGCAGCAGCCCCCGAGGGCCGCATCTCAGCTCCATGGCGGGAGGAAGTCCCCTGCCCACACCCGGGCTGGCAGCTGCCACACCTGCTCTATCAGGGCTCTCGTGCCCTTTCCACCTCCCCACACGTCCCCGAAAACACGGTGGCGACAGAGACTGTGTGGGCCTGCACGGTGTGCAGAGGGGCCCTGATCGAGGGCAGGAGGGGCCTTTCTAAGAACTGACGCCCGGCAGCTGCTGCAGGCGACGTGGAGTGGGCACACCCGGAAGGACGTGTGCCCCTGCCCTGCAGATGAGTGGAGCCGGGATGGCGTGGCCTCAGATAGGGTCGCCATATGGCTGTGTCCCCCTGCCCACCTGGCTCAGAGGGCCAGGGGCCTGAGCCGCGGAGGTGGACGCGGGGCGGTAGGAGACGAGCCCCCGGCTGGCGTCCTGCCGTGCTTGCCTGCATCGCCTCCTTTGGCCCCGGTGACGCTGGGGGAGCTGCTGGGAGCCCGCTCAGTGCTGCACAGCTGGGGCTCAGACTGGCCGGGCCACTCACGACCGTGAGCCGGGTGTTGGGTCAGCCCTCCTCCCCGGGCCTCCAACTTATCTCCACTGAGGGTTTCAGTCACCTGCTCATCTCCTAGACAAGCCACCACCTCCAGAGGTCCCGCCCAGGAGCCGGGGCAGAGGTGGGACCCTGGGCTGGGGCTGCTCCCCCAAGGGACCAGGACCCCAGGTCAGGGTGCCAGTCTCGTGGGTGGGGGGTCAGGATGTCAGCCGGGGAGGTGGGGCCCCCGGGTCAGGACGTCAGTCGGGGAGGCAGGGGCCCCGGGGCAGGGCCACTGCTGGAGCTCTTAGCCTCTGGCCAGTAGCTGCCAAGTCTTGAGCCCTCAGTGCCAACAGCATCGGGTCTGGCTGAGAGATTCTTGTAGTGAGAAGAGCCTGCTCGATGCCTCAGATCTTAGTTCTCGTGAACAGTACAAACACGAGTCAGACCTGAGCCTCCTGCCCTCCGGGAAGCTTGTTGAGGGCGAGGCTGACGGGGTGAGCAGCTCAGCTCTGGACTCAGCTTACGCCCTCCTCTCACTGAGGGCCGTTCCCCACCCTCCTGCCCATTGTTGCCCATTCTCTTGGGCAGCCTGAAGACTGGCTGCTGTTTGTGTGAGACCCCTCTGCTGTCCCCGTGCTGTCCCCTGTCCCGGCTACACTGGCAGCTCTCGCTGGGCTGCAGACAGCCGCCCGGACCATCTCCTTGGGGACTGGTGGGAGTTGGGAGGACTCAGCCCAGGAGGGTGTCCCCTTGGCCGGGCACGTGTCAGTCAATCTGCAGAAGCTTTACAGCCAACACCGCAGGGAGGGCTTTCAACCCGGGTCTGTGCTGCCTCCACTGACCGCATCCTGTCGGCCGCAGTGTGCCGGAGAGGAGAACTGGGTGGACAGCCGGACCATCTACGTGGGACACAGGGAACCCCCGCCGGGTGCTGAGGCCTACATCCCACAGAGGTACCCCGACAACAGAATCGTCTCCTCCAAGGTAACCTGTCTGTTTGTTGATGCCCATTCAGATGCCCCTGGAAAGCGCTGATGGCTGCACCAGGGCGGGTCCCAGAACCACTGTGTAGGCCGAGGGCCGTGGCAGCTGTTCTCATGGGGCTGGTGCGCCCAGCATGCCTCTGGGTGTCCTGGTGCTGTTAAGACTTGCCAGGATGTCACACACATGTTCTTCACATTTTAATCACATCATGGAGGTAGTGTCAACTTGAAGCCTAGGACGGACTGGTCAGCAGGAACAGAGCCTTTTGGAAACGCGTGGCAGGTGCTTCCATCTCTCCCCCAGGGAACAGCCTAAGGGTAGCCTTCCTCCGGGCAGTGGCTCACCCCGAAGCAATGTCCCGTGGTGGCCCGGGCAGGTCCCGCTGCAGGCAGGTGCTAAGCTCATTTTCGGACCTTGTCCCAGGCCTGAGCAGTGCTTGGACCTGCCCCAGGCCCGGTGCTGTGGAGTGTTTGGGGTGTCAGTGGTCATGTGAGGACAACAAGCATCCAGGAGGCAGTGCTGAGGGTCGGGTCAGGGACGGGTCCTCTCTGTCCCCAGCTGGGTCAGGGTCAGGGTCAAGACAGGCCCACTCTGTCCCTCGCTGGGTCAGGGTCAGGGCCAAGGTCAGGGGTGGGTCCTCTCTGTCCCCAGCTGGATCAGGGTCAGGGTCAAGGTCAGGGACATCCTCTCTGTCCCCGGCTATGTCAGGGTCAGGGTCAAGACAGGTCCACTCTGTCCCTGGCTGGGTTAGGGTCAGGGTCAAGACAGGTCCACTCTGTCCCTCTCTGGGTCAGGGTCAGGGTCAAGGTCAGGGATGGGTCCACTCTGTCCCTGGCTGGCAGTGGCTCATAGGAAGATGTGTGCTTCTGGAGTCGTGTTGGGGCTGACAGCCAGCTGCTGGCTTTGAAATTTAAGAGAAGGGTTTTCACAGTTTTCACTTTTGTATTGAACATTGTATTTTATGCTTTTCTTTCCTTATCCGGCTCATTTAGCATGTATTGTTCTCCGCGTAACTCCCTGAATCCGCAGGAATGAGAAGCGCCCGTCTGGCTGTGTTCTGAGAAATGAAGGGAAACCAGGGATCTTTTCTATTTTCTTAACTTTCACGCTGAGATATTTGTTTGGGAAGCTCTTCAAGTTTTAAAGTCAACATCCCATCCTGGCAGGCTCACCCATGCTGGGAAGGTGGCAGGGAGGGCGCCAGGGTGGTGAGGGCAGGGGTGGTGGCCTGTCCTGCAGGGTCACCCTACTCTATGGGCAGCAGCCCCCGAGGGCCGCATCTCAGCTCCATGGCGGGAGGAAGTCCCCTGCCCACACCCGGGCTGGCAGCTGCCACACCTGCTCTATCAGGGCTCTCGTGCCCTTTCCACCTCCCCACACGTCCCCGAAAACACGGTGGCGACAGAGACTGTGTGGGCCTGCACGGTGTGCAGAGGGGCCCTGATCGAGGGCAGGAGGGGCCTTTCTAAGAACTGACGCCCGGCAGCTGCTGCAGGCGACGTGGAGTGGGCACACCCGGAAGGACGTGTGCCCCTGCCCTGCAGATGAGTGGAGCCGGGATGGCGTGGCCTCAGATAGGGTCGCCATATGGCTGTGTCCCCCTGCCCACCTGGCTCAGAGGGCCAGGGGCCTGAGCCGCGGAGGTGGACGCGGGGCGGTAGGAGACGAGCCCCCGGCTGGCGTCCTGCCGTGCTTGCCTGCATCGCCTCCTTTGGCCCCGGTGACGCTGGGGGAGCTGCTGGGAGCCCGCTCAGTGCTGCACAGCTGGGGCTCAGACTGGCCGGGCCACTCACGACCGTGAGCCGGGTGTTGGGTCAGCCCTCCTCCCCGGGCCTCCAACTTATCTCCACTGAGGGTTTCAGTCACCTGCTCATCTCCTAGACAAGCCACCACCTCCAGAGGTCCCGCCCAGGAGCCGGGGCAGAGGTGGGACCCTGGGCTGGGGCTGCTCCCCCAAGGGACCAGGACCCCAGGTCAGGGTGCCAGTCTCGTGGGTGGGGGGTCAGGATGTCAGCCGGGGAGGTGGGGCCCCCGGGTCAGGACGTCAGTCGGGGAGGCAGGGGCCCCGGGGCAGGGCCACTGCTGGAGCTCTTAGCCTCTGGCCAGTAGCTGCCAAGTCTTGAGCCCTCAGTGCCAACAGCATCGGGTCTGGCTGAGAGATTCTTGTAGTGAGAAGAGCCTGCTCGATGCCTCAGATCTTAGTTCTCGTGAACAGTACAAACACGAGTCAGACCTGAGCCTCCTGCCCTCCGGGAAGCTTGTTGAGGGCGAGGCTGACGGGGTGAGCAGCTCAGCTCTGGACTCAGCTTACGCCCTCCTCTCACTGAGGGCCGTTCCCCACCCTCCTGCCCATTGTTGCCCATTCTCTTGGGCAGCCTGAAGACTGGCTGCTGTTTGTGTGAGACCCCTCTGCTGTCCCCGTGCTGTCCCCTGTCCCGGCTACACTGGCAGCTCTCGCTGGGCTGCAGACAGCCGCCCGGACCATCTCCTTGGGGACTGGTGGGAGTTGGGAGGACTCAGCCCAGGAGGGTGTCCCCTTGGCCGGGCACGTGTCAGTCAATCTGCAGAAGCTTTACAGCCAACACCGCAGGGAGGGCTTTCAACCCGGGTCTGTGCTGCCTCCACTGACCGCATCCTGTCGGCCGCAGTGTGCCGGAGAGGAGAACTGGGTGGACAGCCGGACCATCTACGTGGGACACAGGGAACCCCCGCCGGGTGCTGAGGCCTACATCCCACAGAGGTACCCCGACAACAGAATCGTCTCCTCCAAGGTAACCTGTCTGTTTGTTGATGCCCATTCAGATGCCCCTGGAAAGCGCTGATGGCTGCACCAGGGCGGGTCCCAGAACCACTGTGTAGGCCGAGGGCCGTGGCAGCTGTTCTCATGGGGCTGGTGCGCCCAGCATGCCTCTGGGTGTCCTGGTGCTGTTAAGACTTGCCAGGATGTCACACACATGTTCTTCACATTTTAATCACATCATGGAGGTAGTGTCAACTTGAAGCCTAGGACGGTCACATCCTTCCACTGCCCCGTGCTTATCTGCTGTCTGGCTGTGTGCCAGTCGTGAGCCACCCCCAGTCAGTTTGCTCCTCCGTAAAATGAAGACAAATCTAGACGTGACTGGTGAAAGGAGACTTGTGTGCAGCCACCTTGTAAAACATAAACACCGAGAGCGTGTCGGTCAGTCAGTTCAGGGCAGGAGGAGGAAAAGCCTCGTTTCTGTTGGCTGGAGAGCAGAACGCAGGCCTGTTCTGCGCAGAGTGACCTGGTGAGCAGGTCTTGAGCGTAGGGTGAGAATTAGCAGCTGGCTTTGCAGAGTATGGAGAACTCCTGTTAGGTGCACGTGTGTGTCCACGAAGGTTTGCACGCATGCCTAGTGCCCTTGGCGTATAGATGTGCATTAGGCTAGAGCCCCGGCCGGCGTGCTCTGTCTGGATGGGGCAGTAGACCTACTGAATTCTTCATGAGCTGTCAGGCAGCAGCCCGCTTCTTGAGAATACTTGAGAAGAGAAAAGCTCTGCTTTTCAAGGCAGTTTTTTAATGGAATTGTTTTATTTTAAAACTACAATGTAAGATAATAATAGCAATAACTTAACTTTCAGGAAAACTATGTGGGTAAGCAAATTGCCTGTAAACAGAATCCCAGCTATGTAAGCATGGAACCTGCTCACAGACAGATAAGCAAAGGGAGACATAAACCAAGCAGGTCTTTGCAGTGTAACATGTAACCCGACAGTCATCAGAGCTCACCGAGGAGGGTCAGTGCCGCTGTGCACTCCGCCAGCCCACCGTGTGCCCAGAAGAGGAGTCTCAGCGGGCTGTGTGCGCAGCTCTGCGCGGGGCTGTGCGAGGAAGCCTCTGCAGCTCCGGGAGGATCGGTGCCGGGAACGCAAGTGCCTCCTGTGCGTTTGGCAGAATAAAGTGGAAGCTGAGGGTGTCTTGTGTTTTTAAAAGCCCCATTGACGTTTTGGGAGAGAGAACTGATAGCCTGGTTTCTAAATCCCACTCCTGACCTCTTTGTTCTCTGACCCAGGTTTTAGGGCCAATTTATAATTTTCATATTTTTCTCTCAAATATTTCCACACCCCTAGCCAGCTGCGATCCAGAGATGCCTTGTCCCACCTCCTCCTTCTGCAAACCACCACCTTTCTCTTCCCTGGTCTGCAGACCTTTCTCTCCCTGCAGAGGCACCTTCCTGTCCCCAGATGTCCAGGTAAACCGGAGCCCAGAAGCCTCCGGGGTCTCTGACCAGGAACCCCTGTGTACACAGCGGTAGGGGTGGGGGCCTTCCCCAAACTGCCTCTCCTGGCTGCTCCTTCCCAGCAGGAAGCTCTGGAGGGGCACCAACAGCATTCAGTCCACATCCTGCCTGGAGGCGGCGGAACCGGGTGCGCACAGAACAGGGTCAAGTGCCAGGTCAAGGGCTCAGCTACTCCTGACTTGGCTCTGAGTGGGACAGGCACCATCCGTGCCAGCTTGTTTGTGCCAGACAATCATTACTCGGGAAGGTGGGTCAGTGGCTCAGTGTCTGACCCAGACGATGACGGCATGTGATCAAGGAAGAACCGCGCACAGCCTCGCCTCTTGCTAATCAATCGGGTTTGGAGTGGAGGCCCCCAGAAGGTTGAGGATGCACTCTGAGCCGATGGCATCGATTTTACACCACCTGGAATGCAAATCTGGAGCATGTAATGCTTAGATTTAATGAATAGCAGCTCAGGATGTATGAAAAATACAATTTTATTTGTCAAACATCAGTTTGCAAACAGTTTGGAGAATATGTTTGTGGTAATGTATCTGTTTTCTTGGGAAGTGAATTTTATTTCTACCTTAAAAGACAGCAACTGACTTACGTGCACAGAAGCCTGTGCTCAGGAAGTTTGATTTCATTAAACCAGAGGCTCCGAGGCACTGACCCTGTGACAGCTGCACCAGTGGGGAAGGTTCCCATCCCATTATCTCAGACTCCTGACCTGTTCCACAGAAGTGCTGTAACCGGTGATAAGTGAAGGAATTTGAGTTTTGTTTCCTTTTGGGGAGACACACTGGGCAAAGGTCTGGTAAGGAAGGAAAAACAAGAAATTACTGTCCATCACGACCCCTTCCTTTATCCTGACCACATGCAGGGCCCCTCCTGGGCCTGCCGGAGCCACTGTGTGGGCAAGTCCTGGAGAGGGGATGGTGGAGCGCGGCCCACCAATTCCACAGACGGTACTCGGGTGCAGAGGACTGTGGCCCCAGCTGTACCCTCAGGACGCCACAGAATTACACATTAGACTCGGGCTATTCTGTCACTCCATACCTTCAAGAAATTGCTTTTGATGATCAGCAAGGGAAAGTTACTGACACATAACTACCTCCATGTATGAGTAGACCCCATGTGCACCCTGCCGTCTGAGCTCTGACAACACAAGAGGCCCTATTGCTTATTGAACCCAGCCTGTTCCAGGAGACAGAGCCTCAGAACAAAGGGGACGAGCCGACCCAGAGCCCCACGTCAGACCCAGAGCCCAGAACCGGGTCTGCAGTGCCAGCCTGCCTCACTCGCCAGTCCATGATAACATGCAGTCATTCTCTAACACTGGTAATCCAGAATTTGGGCATAATTTTTATTTTATTGCATCCGATGGTACTGGTCTGTCAGGAATGTTTAAATTATCTCGTTGGGTTTTCACGTACCATCAGGAATTAATAACCGTCTTTTGGCCACATTAACAACCAGTAATAATGTATTCCAGTGATTTTGGGGATTAGCAGACGTAGTGTCCAAACTGCAGCCTGGCCTTCTGTACCTGAGAAAAAAAGTAATCAGTTAAGTGGCTTTAAATTCCAAATCTGTGCTGGTTTCCTGGGAGACGAGAATTTGGGAACCTGAAAGGGAACAGGTAACAGTGAAATAGAGACAGACTTGTCATTCATTTAGAGTTCTGGGCTTGATTAAGCTCCCCGTTTGGAAGGATTGCAGAAGATGGCATCCTATTTCATTTTGCATGTATATATTGAGAGCTTTTGTATAGAATCTCTCACAGATATAAAAAGAGCACATAGCAAACCTCCCCGGCCTCGAGCAGCAGGCGGCTGGTGTCTCAGCGCCCCATGTTGTTCCGTGCATTTGAAGCAAATCCTAGGCAGCGTGTGATTTGCATCTGTAAGTATTTCAGTGGGTAGAAGAAGGGCTTTTAGGGAGGGATTTTTTCCGTTAACGCGACTTTGTACTGAGTAATGTATTACAGGTATTTGTGGAAATGTTTCGATTACCTAATGGGTGGTAAATATGCTGGCCTGGTGCCTTGAAACAAGGTTGACTTCCTGGGGTAAGGCCTTAAGACAGCTCCATTTTGGGATCAGCATCTCTTAGAAAAGAAACATATGAAGAATAATAAAAGACGATCCACGGTTGGTCACAGAAGTGAGGCATAAATGCTGTGGTTACATCAACAACTTCTACATTTCTTTCAAGATTTCCTTTTATTTTTTTATTATCATTTTGATAAGGAGCCTGTTTATACCCAGTGCACTAGACATTTTGTTCAGGAATAATTCATCCATTTGAAAATTCAATATTTCCTTTTAAAAGTTGGTAGAAATAACTGACTTTCCACTGTGGCCCATTTAAGAGAAAATTATCTTAAAACTTAAAAAAGACTGATTCGTTTGTGCTGTTTGTCAGGCTATAGAATTTCTATGTCTTCGTCATTTCCTTAGTGCCAGAACTTCGATCCTCAGCCCAGTCCCCCAGGGGACATACTGTCACACTGCTCTCACAATGAGAAAGCTGGAAGTCAGCTGTTACGCTATTTGCTAAATCTTAGCCGATTTTCAGATGCCAGGACCAGTGTTTAATGAAGGGCTGACTCCAAAGTTCATGTTTTTCAGCATAACAGAGTAAATGTTTTCAGAGTTCCATATAGTAGCCAAATTGTCCTGAGGTAGGGGTAGGAAATTAAGAATTCAGATCATGGTTTTGTTTTGTTTTCAGGGAAAAAAGTGCCTGTATTTTACTGGCAGTCAGTGCTTTTTGTTTTGCTTTTAGTTTTTTTCGATTTTTTTTTTTTTTCTGATTGAGAAACAGAAGTAAAGATCCAGGTACGTGCTGTCTACTCTCAGGAACGTTTCTCTCCAGGACAGCTGCTCTTTGGTTCTCAATGTGGTTGCACTCAAATGGAGAAAATCTAGTGTGCAACACCCGTTCATGATAAAAACTCTCAATAAGCTAGGGATGAAGGAGAATTTCCTCAACTGGATAAGAACATCTGTTAAAAAACCCACAGCTAATTGTGCTGAGTGGGGGAACACTAGGTGCTTTCACACTAAGCTGAGAACAAGGTGAAGGGCCCTCTCACCATCTCACTTGATGTGTCACTAAATGTCCTACTAACACAGAATGAAAGGGAAGGGCATGAAAGATAGAAAAACTGGGAAGGAAGGATCAGAACTATCTTTATTTACAAGTAACATGATGGTCTAGGTAGAAAATACCCCAAAATCAACAAAACCTCCTGGAACTTAGAAGCAAGGTTGCAGGATACAAAAGTCAATTTCATTCCTGTATGTCAGCAGTGAACAACTGGAATTTGAGACTAAAAGAAAACAATTTACATTAGCATGAAAAAAAGGAAAAATAAGTATATGCATACTTATGTGTAAAACTGACAAAATATGTACAAGATCTATATAAAGAAGACTAGAAAACTTCGATGAAAGAAATCTAAGGAGATTTAAGTAAATGGACAGACATTCCATGTTCATAGATAGGAAGATTCAGTGTTGTGAGAATGTCAGTTCTTCCCAACTCCATCTATAGATTCACTGCAATCCCAGTCAGAATCACTGGAGGTTATTTTGTGGATATCAGCAAACTGATTATTTGAAGTTTATGTGGAGAGATAAAGACCCGGAATAGCCAACAAGATATTGAAGGAGAACAAAGTTGGAAGACAGACTTCAAGACTCATTGTAAAACCACATCAATCAAGACAGCCCGGTGTTGCGAAAAGAACAGACAAATAGATCCGTGGAACAGAACAGAGCCCAGAAACAGGCCCAGACAACATGGTCGCTGACCTTTAAGAGGAGCAAAGAGTCTCTCAACAAATGGCGCTGGACCGGTGGGCCTCCCCCTGCACGTGAGCCTGGACACAGACCTCACAGCCTCACAGACGTTAATCAGAGCGGGTCAGGCACCGACACGTGAAACGCAAAAGTCCTGGATGGTAACAGGAGAAAATCCAGGTGACCTTGGCCTTGGTAACGGGTTCTTAGATCAACACTAAAAGCGCTAACCACGAAAGGGAAAACTAGTTAAGTTGACTTCGCTAGAATTAAAATGTCTGCTCTTCAGAAGACACTATTGAGAGGACTGAAAGACGAGCCACGAACTGCAGGAAAACATCTGCAAAACCCGAGAAGGGCTGGTGTCCAGTGACGCCGAGGAGGTCAGGGCGTCTGGGTGCGGGGATGGGGGGGCCCAGAGGGCGTGTTTCTTCTCCGACCCTCTGGAGCGCCTCGGGCCTGACCTGTTGGTCCGCCCTGACACAGGAACTGAGTGCGCGCCTGTGACGGGCCTGGGGCGCGGAGTCCCCTTTGTTCTCGCTGTCCTCAGGAACTCAGGAGAGGCAAAACTGGGTGAGATGCCCAAGGAGGGGAGGGTCACCACACCAGGTGGGCAGAGGACCTTCCCACACCCCAGTAGCCCGTCTGCATTAAAAGCAGAAACGTCCAGTGGAATATCACGAACAGTGTCCCGGCTCAGTGTTGGTGGTGAGTTGATGACACCTGGACATTGTCATTTTCAGCACAAGAGTGACGACAGCTCTCCTCCTGAGGCAGAAATGGAAAGCTTGGAGAACGGGTGGCAGCTGGACCCCCCGCTGCTTGCCTCCCTTGCTCTGGGTGCGGGGAGGCCGCCCGTGTGCGTGGTGCCTGCCCAGTGTGGGAATCAGCGCCACACTGGTCAGAACCACCAGTAAAGTGGGCTTCTGGTTAGCTTTCTGTCACCACCTAGTGCACTGCCACAGAACAGGTTTACAAAGAAATTACAATCCAGGCAAAACGTGAGCATGTGTGTTTTGTGTTAACCATCAAAGGCTTCTATTTTATGAGTGGCTCTTCGGTTCGGCTGCTGGGCATCACCTTGAATCGCCTGGAGTCGGGAGGCCCCCAGGTACCTGCTTTGGGGTACACGTTCCATGTCAGCAGCTCTTCTACGGTCAGCAAATGGATGAGGTGTCTAAATACTGTAAATAATGCGTTAAGAGTTTTGCTCCTGATCGTGTAGAATAACACCACAGGCAGTGAAATGGGATCAAAGTGACACTTTTTATTTTTCTTTAATACAGTACACATTTTGGAACTTCATACCTAAGAACTTATTTGAACAATTCCGAAGAATAGCCAACTTTTATTTCCTGATCATATTTCTGGTACAGGTGAGGCCTGCCTCCTTGTCTGCCACCTCACATGTAATAGTTTATTCTCGGGCGGTTACTGAGGAGTCGGCCCTACGCCTCCTTTCGGGCGCTCTCCTTAGGGACAGACGTGTAGGCTAGGAGAGGCCTGTGGCTAAAACACACAGGCGCCCACGTTTGAGTCGGCTCTGCTGCCTTCCAGCAGTGCAGGGCCATCAGGGGCTTCCTAGTCTTTGGGAGAAGTTCACCAGCTGAGCTAAGCTGGATTGAGGTTCTGTTTTCCCTACGTGTGCGCTGACACTCAGAGAAAACAGCGGGCGAGAGGAAGAGAGGAATCCAGAGTCTGGTGTGGACTGCGCACAGTAGGTCTGCTGTGTTGTAAGAACAGCAAAGTTCCCTCAATCATACAAAATAGCATTGGGAGATTTTTTAAATTTCTGCAACATTAAATTATTCAAACAGTGTCATTACTGTGTGGCACCGGAGCAGAGTAGAACGTGAGAATATGCGTGGTGGGAATCACACCGCTGCCCTTTCAGGGCTGTGCACACCCCTAAACTAAAGAGAGCACCTCTGTCCTATGGCGAAGTAGGGCAAGTCCCTTACCTGACTGATCTCAGGGAAGACAGCGGGTTTCAGTGAAGCCAGTGGAGGGGGCGGTTTACAGGGCTCCCCGGGGACTGCTGGTGACTAACCCGCGTTTCTGAAAGTGACTGACCAGTTCTCGTTTCCTGGCAGCTAATCATCGACACGCCCACGAGCCCCGTCACCAGTGGACTCCCCCTGTTCTTTGTCATCACCGTCACTGCTGTCAAACAGGTAAGGACTTGACAGACGGGAGGACGGCCCTGGTCCTTGTTATACGGCCTCACCTACTGCCAGAGCAGCCTGGTGTGCGTTTAACTGAGTTCCAGAAATCCGTTTTTGTGACTGTTCGTGAATGATACTTGAGTTAGAGGTTTGTAACTCAGTAGCTGGCCAGGTGCCCTGTGAATTGGAGAAGGGAACCATAGTTTCTGCATTCTAGATGGCACCTGATTTTAGGTGAGCTGCTGAGCCTGTGTGTTCCTGACTGCCTTGCCCACGAGGATCTCTACGTACGGAGGGCCTGGGATGTGGCTGTGTAACAGAGCACAGCAGCTCTGGGCTCACCGCATGAGTCCAGTTGCCCTGTCGGGTGCTGACATCGAAAGCCCAGGCATAATAGGGAGAAGTGTGCCTGCTACCCACTTAGCCAGTTTAAGGCCACCAGCCCCTGCTGTCTGGCTCCAGAGGAGAAACCCTGTGCCCAGGAGCACTCACCCACCTCCCACACCCCTGCCCCCGCAACCCCCGGCAGGTAGACTTCCTACCACTGAATTTGCCTATTCTGGACATTTTATATGAACAGAATCCTATACCGTGGGACCTTTTGTGTCTGACTTAGTTCACTTAGCATGTTTTCAAGGTGTGTCTGTGTTGTACATGTGCCACCACATCATGTCCCTATTTATGGCTGAGGGATATTCCATGTTGTGGACAGACCACATTCAGTCCATCCGTCCATCACCGGGGGACCTTTGGGGGGTGTCTGCTTTTCGGCTATCATGAGTGATGCTGTTACAGACATTCACATGCAGGTTTTGGGGGGACGTAGGTTTTCAACTCTCGGGTGTCTGTCGGAGTAGAACTGCTCTGATGTTTTTGAGACCTGCCAGAGTGTGTTTCAGGGTGGCTGCAGCATCACTTCCCATCAGGGGTCCAGTCTCCCCGCCTTCTTGTTGACACGGTCATTGGCCATCTTTCTGGCCCACCATCCTGGTGGGTACGTGCGTCTCATCTTGGCTGGGGCCATGGCTTCTCGATGCCCGAGGAGCGTCTTCGTGTGCTCGCCGGCCACTCGCTTGTCTTCTTCAGAGAAGTGCCTTCACGTCCTTTACCCGTTTTTAAATTGGATCATTTGTCTTTTTATCAGTGAACTCTAAGAATTCTTTCTATGTCCTGGATTCAAGTCCCTTACCTGCTGCAAACGTTGGAGCCTGATTTTTGCAGATTGGTCAAATCTGATAATTTGCAAAATACAGCTTCTGGTTATATACTTGGTCAGATTCTTGCTGACAAAGTCATGCTTTTCTGGCGTGGGGCATTCAGCACCGCACATTCAAACTCATGTCTTTAAATAAAAAATAAAACAGCTAAGACATCAGAACAGCAGTAGACTCACAGACACTGAGAAGTGACTTGTGGTTACCAAGGGGGGAGAGGTTGGGGTGGGTTGGGGTGAGGGTGAAGGAGATAAAGGGGCACAGTAATTCTCAATCACAATGTAAGTCGGTCACAGGGATGGTAGTAAAGCATAGAGAATATAGTCAGTGATTCTGTGACATCTTTCTATGCTGATAGATAGTAACTGCACTAGACGAGGTGAGAATTCAATAATATGGGTAACTGTTGAACCATTGTGGTGTGTATTTGAAACCAACATAAGATTGAATATCAATGATACTTCCATAAAAATAAGTTAATTAATAACAAAAAGTAAACATAAATACGTGAAAAAAAAGGCTAAGACATATGTTTCACATGACACATGGTACCAGCCCCACCCTGGATGATGGTGGCAATGAGGATGACACGTTTCGGGCTCTGGGATGCAGCGTGTGGAATGGTGCCACACGGTTACTAATTTTGAAAAAATTCAACCCCATGGGCTAGAATTATAAGTTATTAATATATAAAAACTATAATGGAAAAATACATGTTGACAAAAATTTCTCCTGAGTGATAGGATTAGGACATTTTCAATTTCTTTTCATATTTTCTAAATGTCTGAAGACCATATAATGTTTTATAATAGAGAAGGTAAAAACTTGTGAGGAGTTATTTTTGCATCTTTTATTTATGTCATGCGTTTGTTTCAAAAATGCATCCTGCACGTGACTGCAGAGTGGAGAAGAGGGAATCAGCCAAAGGTCCAGAATCACAGGGGGCACCAGGCAGGGCACGTTAGATTCCCAGTGTTGCGCATGCTCCTTATTCAGTTATTCAGCTGATGCTTTTTTGAGCTTCTGCCATGTACTGAGCCTTCTTCTAGGCCCCAGAGATGACAGTGGTAAACTGCAAACATTCCGGGAGGGAGGCAGACACCAGGCAGCCGTGTGCACTGCAGGGGCAGCGTGGTGCCCAGGGTGGAGCCTCTGAATTGCTCAGGGGCTACTGGATCTACTGCTACGCTGCTGACCAGGGGCTGCAGAAGGGCCTGTGCCGCTGAGGGCCCACCATGGTTCTTCCGTCCCGCCCCACGGGGTTCATGCCTCCTCCTCAGGGCTACGAGGACTGGCTCCGCCACAAAGCTGACAACGCCATGAACCAGTGCGCCGTCCACTTCATCCAGCACGGCAAGCTGGTGCGGAAGCAGAGCCGGAAGCTGAGAGTGAGTACCTGCCTCAGGGCCCCTGTGGCTCCTTGTCTTCAGGTGGGGGTCCCGCCCCTTCCCCAAGCCCTGCTCACCGCAGGCAAGCACCTGACACTTTTTTTTTACTTTTATTTTTATTTGCTCATTTTTGAAGTTTTAACAAACTTTATTTTTACAGCAATTTTGGGGTCACAGCAAAATGGAGTGAGAGGTAGAGTTTCCGTGAGCACCTGGTTCCCGACACACCGGGCTCCCCACCAAGGCAGCGCAGAGGGCGAGGTGGGAGGGCGGCCTGGGGAGGAGGGAGGAGGCAGAGGGTGGCCGTGCTGCACCCCGGCTCGCTGAGCACTGCGGGCGAGGCCTTGGGAGCCACCCACCTGTGGTGCGGCAGCTGCCTCTGGGTTGCTAGAGGAGGTCTGAGAATAATCCACTTAATCTAAACTCACATTTAAGTGTACAGATATGTCAGTTACACTAATAATTCATTGGAAAAGGAGAAACTAAAATGCAGTCTTTATGGGGGCCTGTCCCTGTCCCCACGCGCATCTGCTCGTGGCGTCGGCACCACTGTGGCCCATCTCTCCAGAAGGCACGCTTTCTGGAGGTGTGTCTGAGCGCTGTCCGGACTGGCTGGGGCGCCTGAGAGCCCGGCCCTCGGCCATCAGCAGATGCAGGTGTAGTTGTTCAGTTCGCGGAGCGTCTGCAGCACTTTACGTTCCCGCGGGCACCGCGGGGGTTTCCCCGTGCCCGGCCAGCATCTCTCGCTGACCCCTCTGTGTGGCTTATATCTGTTGCCCTAAGGGTCAGCCGCAGGGCACGTCTCTGTGCTTACCAGCTGGACATCCTCTCTCAGGAGAAGCTCCCATGGCATCAACCCGTTTTCTAGTTGGACTGTTGGAGGGTTTCTACTGTAGAATTTTGGGAGTTTGTGTGCGCTAGATACTTGCGCTTGCTGGCAATATCCCCATGGCATTTCACAAAGCGGCCACTTGTAATTCCGAGGATGACCAGTGTGCAGGTGTTTTCCATCGGCCTTAGTGTTAGGACTCGGGGCCCTGCCCAGCCCTGCAGCCCAGAGGTTCTCTGCTGTGTTTTCTCCTGCAAAGTCTATAGGTTTACAGTTTACACTGCGTTCATTATCCACTTTGAGTTAATTCGCACCGCAGGTGTGTGGTTCGGGTTGAAGCCCCTTTTCCTGCCTCCAGCTGCCCACGTGTTCCACCTTCCCCTGTGGGAAGGGCCGGCCCACCCATAGAGTGCAGGGCCGCCTCCACTCCAGGATCAGAGGTCAGCTACCCGTGGTCACGTGGGTCTGCTTCTGGGTTCTCCGCGCTGTTAATTGGGTTGCTGGCCATCCCTCTGCCAGCGCCCCCGGGGCCCAAAAGCTGCGGCTGTGTGCCAGGCGCAGGGAATCCTCAGCTTCACCCTAAAGGGCCTGTATACTCTTTATCCACGTGAGTTTTAGAATAAGCTCCTCTGTGGCTGCAGAAATCCTTGCTTCAATTTTGATAGGAATGTCATTAAAGCCAGGGCCTGTTTGCGGGGAGAGCAGCTCTGTGTGCACAGGGACTGTCACGTGGTGTGGCTGGGAAGCCCGCCGCAGGTACAGACGGAGTCAGGGAGACGTGCTCCTTCAGGAGGGTGCGGTGGCCATTCGCCTCCAGACCCGGTCCAGAGCCATGGGCGGGCCAAGGGCTCTTCTGGGCCGTCATTTGGATACCTTCCTTGGTGTGGTCGCTGTGGCTGGGGTGATGGTATCTCATCAGAAACCCGCCCAACGGACACTCTGCCTGCAGCCTGGGTGCGCTGGACGGCTGCGTGGTGAGGCCGTGACCATGGGAGCTCCTCGCTTGAGGTCAGCACCTTCTTGCAGGAATAAGCCCACCAGACACCTTAGCAAAGCCGAGCTCATGCACTTGGGCCAAATCCAGCACCCTCCCATCGTGGACATTCGTTCTCATTGCAAAATACCTGTCACCACGCGCTTGACACTTCACGGGTCTGACATTGGTTCACCAGAACCTCGCTGGTCTTCCCCCGGTGTGGGCACGGGGGCCAGGGAGACGCCTTCCCCAAGAGCCGCGTCAGCGTCCACGCACCTCCCGGTGGATGGGCCCCGACGGTGTCTGCGCGCGCCGACCGGCAGCGAGGGAGGGAGCCCCGCGGAGGCGGGTCTCAGTTAGTGTCCCTCTGTCCGGCAGGTTGGGGACATTGTCATGGTCAAGGAGGACGAGACCTTCCCCTGCGACCTGGTCTTCCTCTCCAGCAGCCGCGGAGATGGGACGTGCCACGTGACCACCGCCAGCCTGGATGGAGAATCGAGTCACAAGGCAAGGACACCCCCCCCGGGCCTTCCCTTGCACCCCCGGCTGTGAGTGCGGCCAGAGGCGACATTGCGTGGGAGCGCGCGCTCGGGGGCCCCGGTGAAGGCCTGGCCCGTCGTGTGGCTTGTTGCGTCCTCGCTCCCCTGTCTCCCCATTTCCCACTGTTTTCTGTCCACACTCAGGGTCGCGGCATTCATGCAGCCGCTGCATTCAGTGGAGCCGTGCCCCGTCCCACGGGAGGGGTGTCCTGCCCAAACGGGCTCTGCGGGCTCAGGGGCACACGTTCCAAGACGAAATGTCGTGGCAGCCACCCAGCCCAGGCCTGGCAGGTGTGAGGAATAGATTGGTGGCTTTTGAGAATTCATTTTATGAGTCAAAACTAGTGTCCTTACTAGACTGCAGGTACGTGAGAAGTCACACAGGAGCTGAGATTTTGCCCGACTGCCACTTCAGTGAGTGCCTTTTTATTGAAGTATTTTAATAAGGATTTTTTGAAAGTGTAATTAATTTCTTACACTCAGTCTGGAATCCGGCACTGGCAGCCGGGGCTCCGTAATTTTAATTAACAGTCACAAAAGGATAAGACCTATCACTACTAATTTCAAGGATTTCATTAATTTAAAAAGCTGGAAACTTCCAAGGAGTTTGTCAAAGTGAGATGGCCCAGTGGACTCAGCCATTTCTAAGGCTTTGCCTCCTAAAATGGCAGCTCTAATGGTATTTAAACAGTTCCTCTGGATTTAGGCAATTTCTATGATGGGAGCGATCATTTCTTTGCAAAAGGATATGCTAATATCCACTAATATGGGCAGAGCCTGGTGGTTTTTCGTCATTTCCTTCCTCCCCTTTTATGTCGTACATCCCAAGGGGGTGAACACGGTAGCCTGACCTGTCAGCAGCAGATACTGGGGTGGGGGTCCCTGGGTAGTTCCGGAGTCAGTGTGACCCCGCTGTCTGTGGGTGCGGGAGGTTGTGTCCCACCCCCAACACGGGTGAGCCATGCCTACCCTGCTGCTGGTGGTGGGCCTCCCTCCACCCCCCATACCACGGGAGGGGTGTCCTGCCCAAACACGGCCCAGCTTCACTCCAAACGGACGCTGCGGGCTTCAGATGCACATGTTTCAAGATGAAATGTCGTGGCAGCCACCCAGCCCAGGCCTGGCAGGGGTGAGGGTCCGTGTTCTGCCTCGGCCTCTGTGTGTGTGCCCACTGGCTCGGGTGCTGGCATTATCCGGGCCCATTCCTTAAAGGCAGAGGGAGATATGGGGGGGGTCTGGCGACACTCACGTTCCCTGCATGTATGACCTCGGGCCTGTGGGCCTCTCCACATCTGCAAAGGGGCACAGTCGGCTTCCGGACGCTCTTGAGGAAATAGAGCATCTCCCAAGGTGCTGGGCATGCACGTGCCCCGAATGTCACAGTGCTGCTGATGCCACGCCCATCGCTTCTCTTCTGCCTCGTCACACACCTTCCCTGTCCTGCGATTGATTGTTGGAGGGGAAAGCACAAGGAGACTTGGGGGCCCCTCCCCGCACAGGGTCCTCCCCACAAGGCCCCTCCCTGCAATGCTCCTCCCCGGGCAGGCGCAGCCGTCCATGCTCGTGCTGTGCACACCAGTGTCCTCAAAACGGCCCCAGGCAATATCTGGGATCATGTTAGAAAGGCAGCCCTCGGCCCCCCAGATCCGGGCATCAGACACTCCAGGTCGGGGCCCTCCGAGCTCTGCAGGGCATTCTGGGGCCTGCAGGGAGCCTGCACCCACTAGGAGCTGCACTAGGGCTCTCTGAGGAGCCAGCATCACACGGACAGCAGGGGTGGCCGCTCTGAATGGGCTCCCTGACTGATGGCCGGCACCACGGCAGACACACCCAGGTGTCCCGCGTTGAAGGTGAATCCCCATGGTGATTGTTCCATTGGTTTTACACTGGGGACGCCGGTAGGAATAGCGGGACCCTCTGGGCAGGAATGGACGGGCCCTCTGGCGGCTGACAGAGCCTGCAGTGGAGGTGCGTGCTCGTGCGGCCCCTGGCCCTGTGTGCAGCTGGGCCTGTGGGCACGGCTGCTGCGTTCGTGTTCATCATCTGGTGAGAAGTCACATTTCTCGTCGATCTGCAGACTCATCATGCCGTTCAAGACACAAAGGGATTTCGTACTGAAGAGGACGTGGATGGCCTGCACGCCACCATCGAGTGTGAGCAACCCCAGCCGGACCTGTACAAGTAAGCACCCCTGGGCCCCCACACGCCCCCAGACGCCATCCCCAAGCCTGTGTCCCCTGCGCTGCCCAGCCACCCAGCGGCCCTGTTGTTTGGGAAGAAAATGTAGTTCACTGCTTAAAAGTTAAAACCAAGTCAGAAACGTTACTTAAGTATTTTTATAGTCCAGCGACATTCAAATCATAGCTATTTATACAGATGTGAAGTATAAATGTACAGAAGTGAAGACCAATCTGTGGACAGAAACCGGTGCTTGAGGAAGACGGCGGAAACCATCAGCCAAGGAGAGGGGAGAGCCCAGCCGCTGCCCCCTCAGACGCCGCCGTTCTCTGTCCCCAGGTTCGTGGGCCGCATGAACATTTACAACGACCTGACCGACCCCGTGGTGAGGTGAGAGGCATGCCCAGCACCTTGGCCGTGTTGTCCCCGTTACCAGAGAAAACGGGGACCCTTGCTGACGGGGCTGTCGGCTGGGTTCCCCGTTATGCCTGTGGCCCAGGGCCAGGTGTGCCTTCCTTCTGGTTACGCTGCGGACGCAGCCGCTCATGTCAGCAAACTGGAGGTGCCCGTGAACGTGTCCACACGATGCCAGGCACCCGCCTGACGGTCCCCAGCACGGAAGGAGCCAGGCCCCTGCTAGAAACACCTCACAGTTTAGACCAGTGTGTCTGCCACCACACAGATAAGATCTCTGACGGGCTGTTTTGTCACAACGCGTGGTCACTCGTGGTGGTAAAGGGGCACGGTCTGACCTAGGTCACGTCTGGGTGGAAAGGGCCTGTGTCACCTGGGGCTGTGGAGCCTGCTGCCCGGGGGTGGGCTGGCAGGAGGGTAGGCCCAGGGGGGTGCAATCACCCGCTTCATCATCACACCTGCAGAGCAGTGAGATGCCATGAGATGTGACCCCAAGGCGGCAGCTCCCCAGAACAGCCTGTGGCCCCGATAAGGCACGATCTCGGGTCTGTGCTGCGTCCGCCTCCCAGCGCAGGGGACACAGGCTTGGGTGTTTCATCCGAACACTGTTCCAAGGTCCCAGCTGTTCTTTGCTGCCGAGGTATTCAAGATCTAGTTTAGGAGACTGACTGTAAGTGGGTTTTGAACTTGACCTTTTCCATAAACCCCACTTGCTACTATTTTCCTTCAGTGTAAGCCATCTCTGGATTGGCGGTACCCTAGTACATACAACCTTGTGTGTTGAAGCAAACAGTTGCCCACAAATAGAAATATACTCAGTGGGAACGGCTGCAAAGTAAACAGTTACTGGAGGGTGAGCCCCTGGGGCCGTCTCCTTGTGAGGCTCCTGGAATCATCTGCCCGAAGGACGCAACCTGTGTGCCTCTTGTGCGGTTTGGCATCATTAGCCATCAGCCAGCTGGCAGTGCTGATTGGGGGTTACGGAGACATCGCTGCCGTCTTTCCTAAATGATTACCACCCACAATTAATTCCTAGTTTCTTGGAGAAATAGCCTTTATTTCTGTGTCTTGAGAGACCTAGTGTTGGAACAGGCGAGTAGATCCAGATCCACTCACATCGCCAGTGGGACGGGCCCAGGACAGCGAGCTGCCGGCTTCTCGGCTTCACACTCCTGGGAAGGCGACTGGTGGCATTTTGTCTTTTCATTCTAGTTTAGCTTTTAAGTATTAATACTATTCAGCAGGCTTTTTAATACTTGGGCATTTCAAGATGTTCATAAATTCGGTGTGGACACTTATGAATTGTCTATCAAAGTCCTCAGTCCACTCAGCGATATTTCCTCATCTTCCTGTCCAAACAAGAAGCGAAGCACTTTTAAAGTAAATTATTTTTAGACTCCCGGAGACACTTTCTGAAAGGGCCATTTGTTTTCGTAGCCCAGTCCACATGGCACCGTGAGCGTGTCGCTCACAGGCGGCAGCTCAGCCTTCGTGGCTGCGGGTGAGGGATGGGTGTCCACACGGCCCCCTCTGAGCGCCCCCCTCTCTCTGGTCCTCTGCCGGGCGCTGCCCTGAGCTGTGTCTAAGGTCATGATGTGCGTAGGAGCTCGGCTCCCACAGTACAAGGGATGGACTGAAAAAGCGAAGCAAACCCCTTCCTCCAAAGAAAACCATTAAAATGCTGAGAATAGGAACATTTATAAAGTTGGATTGTACTTGGTGTTCATATTGCCCCCTCGCTTCTGGGAAATGAAGAGCTGGTAACCCACCCACCAGGCAGCCACTAGAGCAGGGAGTTCCTGAAGGCAGCGGTCCCGTCCCTTGCTCGCCACTGAGCCCTGAGTGCCCAGGCCGTCTTGTTCCTACAGGATTTCTAAGGTCCTTGATGGCTGCCAGTTCTCCCCCAGCAGTGCTCCACCGTTCCGGATGCATAGGCCGCCTGCATTCGAGTCTTTGGACTTGACTGTGAAGGCACACAGAGGTTCACTGTGTCACCTGAGACTGGCCGGGCCTCCCAGACAACGCTGCAGACACCACTGAGGCCACACAAGTGACAGGCACCATCACCGCTCAATTTCCAGCGCATCCGGGGGTCCCGGTCCAGCAGTCCTTGAGTGCGAGGCCCGTTAGGAGCAGGTTTCTGGTTCAGGGTGGCACCTCAAAGTTCCCAGGGGCTGCTGGTGGCATTGGTGTGGCGGCCCCACGTGTGGGTCCGCCACCCTCACCTACAGGCTCAGCTGCATTCCTAAGGAGCATCCGCCCCAAGCTGGACCCCGTGGGCAGAGGCCTTCCCCCACAGTGGTGACCACGTGCCTTATGTGGACCTGAGCTGCCCTTCACAGTCCAGTACAAGCAGTTCTGTGGTTAACCGGGTCTCAGATGCACGTTAGGCGAATGGATTGACTGTCCGCATGCGGAGTGCCTTCCTGTTCACTCCGATGCCCTGTGTCTGGTCATCCTTGTCTTTTCAGGCCATTAGGATCGGAAAGCTTGCTTCTTCGAGGAGCCACGCTGAAGAACACTGAGAAAATCTTTGGTAAATATTTTAATTAGTGAATTATTAGTAATGGCCTCTGAAACTTAAGAGTATGTTAGGCAGCTAACATCCATGGTGCCATGAAAGCATTCCCTCTGTGCTCGGAGATGCTCTGCCCTTTATGCATCTGCAATCTGGCCTCACCAGGAAACCAGTATTGATGTGTGACCACAATCCATGAAGCAAAGCATCTGAGGGTATTGCTTACATATTAAGTGCCTGTGGTTTTTGGTGTGGAAACATAAAGTTAGGCCCCTGAAGAAATTCAGACAATACAGTTCTGCAGGAAATTGCTTATAATGGCTGCATTCCTTTGCTAGTATATCCCACTTCTGGCAGATTTTATTTTTTTATATTTTGATTAAGTGAGACAACTTAAAGTTACACAAGTGTGTAAAGTAGAAACCCAACATACTGCCTTTGGGACTTACAGAAAAAAATGTAGGTTGCTTTCTATGCAGGAATAAAAAGTGTTTCTTTAGTCAGAAGAGTCCTGTTGTGTAACTTTTTCTGAACAGCTAGGTTGCATAGAGGAATTTAAAATATTATTTGTTTTGTCCCAAATTCCATTTTAACTGTAGCTGTGGGTAATCTTTTATGTAAAGTCAAGGTATAATTGTTACTTTCTAACATTTAATCTCCTTTACAGGTGTTGCTATTTACACGGGCATGGAAACCAAGATGGCATTAAATTACCAGTCAAAATCCCAGAAACGATCAGCCGTAGAAAAGTAAGGTTCAGTACCTGGTTGTTTGAACTGCATAAAAATCGTGACTTAGAACTACCGTAAACCACCATAGATGTGAAGCCTGTTAGCAATACCTTCGTGGTGTCTAGACAGACAGTAGAGTTGATTATTTATATGGACTGTCGTACCTTGTGAGGACATAAATGGCCCCACCCTTCAGCCCGCTTCTGGAGGCTCGCTTGTGTGGACACCTGAGGTCCCGGTTCCAGGTTCGTGCCGGTGCCCACGACTCCCGTCACCAAGCCATGAAAATGACAAAGTAGGGTCACTTCTAGCTTTGGGGAGTAGTAATCCCCATGTTTTACTGAGGAAAACATTAGCTTTCTGTTCATTAAATAGCAAAATGTGCATGATGATGGCTCAAGGAGAGAGCTGGATTCGTAGGAAACTGGCCTGGGACTGTGAAGGCGTGTCCTTGGCTGAAAGTGGACGACAGTTTCAGGTTGTTTAACGACGGGCTGTGTGCCAGTCCACAGCTTTGCGGAGACGGTCAGAGCCTCATGCCTGCTGTTCGTAACCTGATCTCAGAGTGCACTCCTGGTCCCTGTCCGTCTGGCTGCACCAGACATGCAAGTGGAGATCTGGGTCTTAGTAAGCAAGGATGCTCTGCTCCAGGGTGTCTGCATTGACAACAGGTTTCAGAAATAGACGCTGAAACATCAGACCTTTCTAAGTTCTGCTGAGACATTGGCTAAGGACTCGGCATTCCCCCCTGCCCGCCTCCCCCACCGTGGAATCTGCGTGTGGAGCTGCTGGGTGGATGCTTAGTGCTAATTGATTTCTGGATGTTTTTTAAATGGTAGAACCCCAGACGGTGCAGCATCTTGCGGCGGTGTGACTGGCATGTCTGGGTCCTGCCTGCAAAACCTTCCCTTTACCGAGCACCCCCCTTGGGGCCCCTGGATCCCAGACAGGGGCCACCGTTCACTCCGAGTAGATGTGTGTGTTTTGATTTTCACAGTGTCGGCGGACAGCGGGGACCCTTTAGGACATGCTCCTGAGCTGTTCTGCTGTTTCTTCGTGATGTGCTCGTCTGTCTTCGTGGGAAGGGCACCATGCGGCTCCAGGAGTGGCTACGTAACCGCAGTCTCTGTTTTAGGTCCATGAATGTGTTCCTCATCGTGTACCTGTGCATTCTAATCAGCAAAGCTCTGATAAATACCGTCCTGAAATACGTGTGGCAGAGCGAGCCCTTCCGAGATGAGCCGTGGTACAATCAGAAAACCGAATCGGAAAGACAGAGGAACCTGGTATGGAAAGCGCACACGCCGCGCGGGGCCGTCATTACGAGAGTGGCCCCAGCCACGGACAGGCCTTGATTGGTTGGGTTAGTAACGGGGCCCATCCATGGCGCAGGTGTCCAGTGCCCCCCAGCTGTAGACACTGATCGCTCTCAGTCCCTGGGCCTCTGACTCTTCAGGTCTGGAATGTTCTGGTTCCCAAGCAGATTCACAAGACAGCGCCGCACGCAGCCTGTGCAGGTCCCGGGCACTGCCCTGTGTGTAGTAGGCACTCAGAGTGCCTGCTAACAATCGTGAGGGAAATGGTGCCCCTGGTAAGAATATAGACAAAGGAGAGTCTCAATAATAGGAAATTATGGTAAGAATTTCATTTTTCCTTAGTTTTAGCTCAGTGGCTCATGTTTATCCAAAGTATTTGTCCCCAACCCAGTATGTTAAAATAATCTTATTGAACCTCCTCTACTTAAAACAGTACCATTTTCTGGCCAGAAGCCGACCTGAGCTACATGCAGATCAGACCAGGGTCCCCCGGGTGCAGCGCAGGGGCTGTGTGCAGGCCCAGACTAGGCTCCCTGCATATCCTGGGTTCCACTGGGCCTCCCACGAAACTGAATGGTTCAGAGATGTGAACAAAACTGTAAGAAAAAATAGTTTTTCCTGCAGTTACTTTTTCAGCATCCCAGGTCGTCACCACGTAGGTTTGTTAACGTGTCCCAGTGTCTAAGGAAACTTGGAAATCTCTGACTGTCAAGTGCCCTGCCGGCTGCCAGGTGGAGGGGCCTCCTGTCTCCCGACTGTGGCTTCTCTCGGTGGCGGGGACCTGCCCCCCCATGGCAGGGAGGCACGCTGGCCTGCTCCCAGCCTGGGGCCACCGCCAGGCTCAGATCAGGTGACGGGCGAGCAGGGTGACAGCTGCCACCCCAAATGAGCCTTGTGTTTGGGTCTGGGAGTGCGTCGTGTGGCGTGTGCCAGCCTCGGCCTCCCACCCCGGTGCTGCTGGCTGGCAGACCGGAGGTGATGTGGGGCCCTCTCAGTTTCTCAGGGCGTTCACGGACTTCCTGGCCTTCATGGTCCTCTTCAACTACATCATCCCCGTGTCCATGTACGTCACGGTGGAGATGCAGAAGTTCCTGGGTTCCTACTTCATCACCTGGGACGAGGAGATGTTCGATGAGGAGACTGGGGAGGGGCCGCTCGTCAACACCTCAGACTTAAATGAAGAATTAGGACAGGTAGGTGGCTTCGGAATGGTCTTCTGTGATTTGTTGAGATCGAGTCCCTCCCTTTTATGTTCCCAGGTATCTAGATTCGAAAGAACCCGTACTGTGTGGGCAAGTCCTGGATACCCAAGGATACTTTTCCATTCTGATTCATGCACAGGCCTGTTCCAAGCCTGTTACTGGTGAAAGACAGCAGCAGAGCTCTGGGGGTGGACACAGTCCTGCGTGCTCACCATTCAGCCCGGTGCAGCAGCTTGTGTGGCCTGAATTCCCATGGACAGCTTTGATGTCAGGCACACGGCCGCTCCGCGACAGAGTCAGCCCCTCTCCCCTTCCAGAAGGGCGCCAATCCCCGGCCAGCGCCACCCAGCCAGCCCTGTGTCCGCAGGTGGAATACATCTTCACAGACAAAACCGGCACCCTCACAGAGAACGACATGCAGTTCAAGGAGTGCTGCGTCGAAGGCCACGTCTATGTGCCACACGTCATCTGCAATGGGCAGGTCCTCCCGGACGCCTCTGGCATCGACATGATTGACTCCTCCCCGGGTGTCAGCGGGAGGGTAGGTGGCCGCTCGCTCCGCAGGTGCTGGCCCTCCAGAGGGTCAATGCCACGTGTTCTAGGGCCCTGCTCCCAGGATACACTAGTGTTACCTCTCATTCTGGGATCCAGGGAAGATGGGGCCACCCAGCAACTTGAGTGAGAACCGTGAGGTTCCTTCCCCCCCAGGGAACTGGACAGTCACATCCGGGGTGGGAACAGCTTGAGACGCACACCACATGTGCCAGTGCTTACACGTGTCCACACTTGAGTGCACATGCGCACCCATGCACAGACACATGCCACACACAGTGCCCTCATGCACATAGAGGCACACACACAGACACATGCCCCTCGCACTTGTGTGCACATGTGCACACATACTGCCCTCATGCACACAGACAGACATATGCCCTGCACATGTGTGCACACTCAAGTGCTGTGGCTCCAGAACTCAGCATCTCCTGGAGGGCTGGGCCCTCATCAGTAGTCGCCAGGAGACCATTCCAGAGAGCTTGGTGACTGCAGAGACCTGTGTGGGGCCCCTTGGTGGGCTCTGCCATGACCAGGTGCACTGGATGTGCCACCACGTGGGCCTCAGGTGGTGGCCAAGGGGCTGGTGTGGGCCACCGTGAGGAGCCTGCAGGCATTGCACCCTCGGGCCCCTGCAGGGACTCCCTCTACCTGGCGCGTGGGGGGCGAGCCCAGCCTTTCATGGCCTCTTCCAGGGCAGCACCCAGGACCCTGGCGAGGCACTCGGGAGTCCCCGGGGAGCCCAGGCTCGGCCACGCACCTCAGCTGGCCTGAGACTTGGCCCTGCCGTGCCCGCTCTTGTGACCTCGCCCCATCACCCCGCCCCTCTGGCCTCTCACAGTGACGGGCAGCACAAGGCCGGAGTGCTCGCACGTGCGGAAGCCAGTTCGCCCCGCCTCCTGATGCCTGGAACGCCGCGTCCTGCCTGCGCTTGCTTTCCTTCTGCCGCGAGCCGACGGCCACAGGCATGAGGGTTTTGTGCTTGTTTTCACAGGAACGAGAAGAGCTGTTTTTCCGAGCCCTCTGTCTGTGCCACACCATCCAGGTGAAGGACGAAGAGGAGGCGGACGGGCCCAGGAAGGCGCCGGCCTCGGGGAGACCCTGTGTGTACATATCCTCCTCCCCTGACGAGCTGGCCCTGGTCGAGGGCGTCCAGAGGTAGGCCAGAGGCAGGGCTGTGCCGGCAGGCCCGCCCGCAGGCCCAGCTGGGTGGCCGTCGGCCCCTCAGCTCAGGGTGCCTGCTGTGTCCCGGGAGGCCCCCTCCTAACTCCGCGATAAGTCAGCTAAAGGCCACTCCAGGTGATCCCAGGCTTTTAACCGCATGAACAGTCCTATTCACCCTTTAGAACACGTCTTCCTTGTCCATCCAAAAAATTGATTTCCAGAGATGTCAGGAAACCCCCTCAAAGTCACACAGCGTGCCGGAAAGTTCAACTGGCTGCTTCGGCTTTCTTCCTGTCGGCTTCTCTTTCTCTGTGTGCCGTCCACCCTCTCCCTCAGGTCTTTATTGGGAGTCCTCGCTGCCGCATGACATGACATTTTAAGCAAACAACACCTGGAAAAATACTCTGGCTATTCCAGATTTGAGGCACGATTTCAAGTCACGGAAATGTGTTTCCAGTTCTCAGTTTTCAACTCAGATCTGACTAAAGGAAGTGGGCTTCCCTCTCTGCTGCCATGAATGAGTGGGCGATGAGTGTGGCACCCAAGTAGAACAGTGTTTTTTGTTGACCTAGGTAGCATGTTTTTCCCGTGCAGTGTGGGAGGTGACCTCAGGTATGTATTCCCATGGGCCTCTATCAAAGTGCAGGTGTCCACACACACTTAGATTTCTCAAAGCTAGTCGTCTCCTGGACAAGTGTTCAGAACTCAAGCTGCATGCTTAGTAGCCAGGACAGGCCCTTCCCGCCCCTGATCGTACATGTGCCATCCAAGCAGCTTTTCTTCAGCCCGGCAGCTCCTGCCTGTCCCCATGGCGCCACAGCGCCTTCCTACCGTGTGGCTGCTGGCTGTGTGAGAAACACGTTCCGTCTCCCATCTGTGAGCTCTTGCCAGAAGCCACGCCTCCGCGCCCCAGCGTCCCTGCACAGCACCCGATGTGCACGCGGCCCTCAGAAGTGCTGTCAGGGTGTCACAAAGCAAGTGCTCTGGGGACGGGTGTTGCCTGGCCTCCTGCCCAGGGGCTAGTTCCTCATTGGTGAAGTGAGATGCTGGCTTAGAGACTGCCAGTCTCAGGGTCCTTCCCGTGCTGACAAGGTGGCCTCTGTGGAACAGTCCACTGACCGGTGACAGGAGCCGGCACTCAGGGACCTGCCCACGGGCCTGCTGCCGGCTGTTTTACCACAAGCATTTCTTCCTCTAAAAGAAAGCCCTACCCCAGTGTAAAACAAATATTCTGTGCAAGACGAATGTCAGAGCTTCAAACAACCCCTGGACCTGCCTTCCCCTTCCCAGGCTTGGTTTTACATACCTGAGGCTGAAGGACAACCACATGGAGATTTTAAACCGGGACAACGACCTTGAGAGGTAGGGTGCCGCACGCTTAGCAAAGCATTCCCCTTGCGAGGCCTCCCCTGGGAAACCCGGATGCCGTACCCTGCCCCCTCCCCTGTAAAGCTCCGGGACTGTGCCCAGAACGTCTGGAGGATTTAGGAGCCAGGCAGTGAGAGCAGCTGGGGGCGGAGCGTCAGGCTGGGGGCGGAGCGTCAGGCAGGTGTTGGGCTGAACCGTCTGCGGCGGGTTCCACTGCAGAGTGCGGCGGGTTCCACTGCAGAGTTCTCCCACCTTCTGGTATGTTCTGACCCTGCCCAGTGGGGAAGAAGCATGCGCCTTCTCCAGGAGCCCCTCGCTTGCGAGCACCAGCCCCCAGGCGTGGGACACAGCGTCTGCAGAAAGCCTGAGCAAGCGCCCCTCTCGAACGGCCAGCAGGGCCTCGCGTGCGCCCACTCTCCGTGTCTGTAGGACCCGCCTCCTTCCGCTTTTACCAGCTGTCTCAGGCTGGAATCGCCAGTCCCAGAGGCGGGTGGCCCATCTTGACTCGGAGATTGGGTAGTCCTGTTCTTTATAAGTAAACATAAATAGCAATAAAAGGATACAGGTCTAAGGGGCATACGACTTGGTGGTTATGACTTCAAAAAAACCTGCATTTTTAAATCTCCATCTTTAGAAAAATGAACTCGCTGGTTAGTGGGACCAGTGAGCCCGAGTCTGGAGCTAAATGTGGGTCCCAGACTGGCATAGCCAGGTCCCTGACAGCTGGGCTGCAGGGTCACCCGGGGGGCGCAGGGACTCCGGCCTTCAGGCGTCTAGCTCCCACCTGAAGAGGCGGGCGTGCTCATGGTGACGCTCCACAGTGCCGCTGAGATGCTCTGGGGGGCCTTCTCGCCTGCCCCCAGGGCCTGCATGGCCAGCATTTCGTGGTCCCCGAGCAGCTGGCCGGCTGGGGTCCAGACCCTCAGGACTTTTCAGAGGTCATGTCCTGGACACTGAACCATTTTCAGTATCTTAAATGCCAGATAGACATGAGTCTCCTGTTCATGAGCGTATACATACTGATTAAATACCAGTCTCTCTGCCTTTTTTAACAAAATTTTTATCAACTTAAAAGACACCGGTTCAGTCTCAGGGGCCATAAGCTCTGGTACAACCTGTGTGCCTGTGTTCAGCAGAATTTAGGAACGTGGATCAGCGTAGGGAAGGGAGTTTGTTTGGCGAGCCGAGCCCCTGAGCTCCTGGGACCTGGGTGAGGGTGGGGCGGCGGAGCAGCCGTCGGGTGGCAAGGGTCCTGGCCTCACTGCCCTCAGCCCCAAAGGTCCAGGTGGCAGGAGCACGGATTCCCCGTCTGTCGCTGGAGGGAGCCACCCAATATCTGGATTCCTCCTTGGACGCATGGCTTGGCAGCAAGGCCTGTGGGGTGGGCAGCTGTGGGGAGGGGGCTACCCAGGACAGTGCCCTGGGAAAGGTCGGTAATCACCCAGATTCCAGGGTACACCAGATGGCTGGATATGAAAAGCAGTTTTTATCTTTTTCAGGTTTGAACTGCTGGAAATTCTGAGCTTTGACTCAGTAAGAAGGCGAATGAGTGTAATTGTGAAGTCGGCTGCAGGTAGGCAGGCCTTTCCTTGATCTCCATGTTACACGTGGTTGCTTTATCCTGACACGCACACTCCATAGGCACTTTACAGGTCGAACACTTGAACCGCCTGCAGGCCACACCACCCCTGGCCGCGGCCCTCAGTGCCCCCAAGCCCCGTAGGTTCCCCATGGACACATCCTACAGAGTCTGTCCCCACTGGGTGGCCTCACCCACCACTGGGCGACCACAGCAGCCTGCTGCCCGGGGTCCCACCATTGTCTCTGCCTCTCAGTCCTCCTGAGACGCCCATGCTCAGGTGCCTGCTGGCTCCCGGGGTGCTCCTGCGTCAGGAGGCCTCTCCTCTGTCTCGCATCTGCTTCCTGCCCTGCCCCTGCCAGCTTTCCTTTCAGGCCTCCCCCAACTGCACGTGCTCTGTGGGGATTTTCCACCTAGAGCCTCTCAGCCTGGAGGGGGCTTCCCCCCTGGAGGACCCCTACCTGGTGGGGGCTTCCCCCCTGGAGGCCCTCAGGTTCATTTGCGCTTTCCCAAGGACAGCTTAACAGCCACGTTGTAGGAAGCTTGTCCTGGTTGCCTCAGTCGATGTGCTGTTTGTCTTCAGACGTGGCTAGGTTGTCTGTATGTCAGGTGCAGAACCTGTACTATTCCCAGCGGTTTATGCACCGCGGCTGCAGCGCCATGTGCTAAGGGCTGAGTTCAGTTCAGCTAATGCAAATTCAAGATGGCATCTTACAAGGGATGCGGGATCTTTTTGTTCTTTAAAACTAGGTAATTATCAGGCTGTGTTTATCTGCTTGCAAAGTTGCCTGGTGAGTGACCAAAGGCGGCCACTACCCTGGAAGCGAGCACACGGAGTGTAAAATAGTGACCTGGAGGCATGTCGGAGAGCTTTTCGTCCACATGTCCTGACCCTCCTGTTGAGAAGTGCGCTTCCACGGGATGTGAGCGGGCAGCTCTTCCACCCGGCCACCCTCCCTCCCCACTGGCAGGCCGGCAGCACCTTGCTTCCCCTTCTCAGGCCTTGTGAGACCTGACTGCTGCAGGCACACACCTCAGCGGCACCTGGGAGTTCTTCTCCGCGGAGTCAGGTTGCTTTGGACGGAGAGCCCAGGGAAGGCGTGTGGCTGCCTGGCAGCGTGCTAGCCACATGTGAGCTGGCTCTTAACCACGCAGCTCCCTCGCCCCTGACCCTCGTGACAGACATCAGACGTGGCACACAGAGTGGTCTCCACCCCTGAGGCTTGCCCTGCATGCCCAGGACATGAAATGACAACAGTGTCAGTGTTCCCATGACACAGGAGAACAGAGGTTTCACCACTGGGATCAGCAGGGTGGAGGATCTTCACCCCACACACACCCCCACACCCTCCAGGCTGAGCACGAGTCCACAAGCTAATGCTTGTGGGCCATGCCAGGAAGCTTCCTGAGAGGCCAGCCCCTTGAAGGATCCAGAAGAGGCGGCCAGGCTGGTCTTGTCTTCTCCCCATACAGACATGGAGTCAGGAAGTGAACCATGCTCAGGAGACAGCTCACAGGCCTGCAGCAGCAGCAAGCCTTGGAGGACATGTCCACTGCCGCACATGGTCCTCTGTCCCCCGCACAGCCGTGGTCACAGGGCTTGACACACTGTGGCAGCTTTGTAAACAGTGTTATCTGCTGTCAAAAAAGGTGTCACAAAAGCTGTCAAAGGAGTTGGGTCGGGTCAGGAGTGGCTGTCCAAGGTGTCCACGCCATTAGAACATCCCTCCCCTGGACGGGGTGACGCACATTTCCAAGGGCTACCGGACCAGCCATTGCATCCATCCATTGTAAGAGAAGCTTGAATATTTAGACATGTTGTTCTATAAGTAGTTACATCCCCGGAGGCAACTGCTTCCCCAGTTTTAGCGCCTGGACGGCAGTGGCCGTTGGACTAGTGCTGCAGCCACTTAGCAACCAGCCACGCTTCTGTCTGAGGGGCCTCTGTTGAGCAGTGGCTGCAGCATGTCCCACCATAGGCAACAGTCATGCCACCATGTGGGCATCTCTCTGGGTCAGCAACTTTCTGCTGGTTGATGGAGCTGTAAAAGCAGGGTTGTAGGTGATGCTCTCATGACGTTAAAGGCTCTCCATGACCGACTCTTAAGGCTGAACATGTCCCATGTCAGTGTGGCTGAACAAGAAGTGATAAGTTGAAACTTGGAAATTCACGGCATTCACAAACCATTACCATGAGGCATCTTGGTTTCACTAGAAAAAAAATGTATCATTGTTACAATTCCTGTTCTGAACTGTACCTGGTGACACATGTGGGCATTGACTAGACACCATGTCCGTTAGTTGGGATGGATTCTGACATCCGGCTGGTGTTTGCATGGCTCGCGACCAAGAGCCCGGGTCACCAACGTGCCGCTGTGCTCGGCATGCTTCCCGCCCCAGTGGGCGGCAGACTGCTGCTCAGCCCGGCCCTTCCTCTCCAACCTCCTCCGCCACAGCCCAGCGCCAAGCCCGGACTCCACGTCACTCGGTGCCATCCTCTCTGGCCACAGGCGGCCCGTGCAGGCTTCGTGAGCATAAATCATGCTGCATTCTCGATGTTGCCAGTGTGTGCCCCGCATGAGTTAGTCCTTTCTGGCATCCAGGAGATAGGCCAAGGCAGGCCCTGGGTGCTATGACCCTTGTCTGGGGTCCCCTGTGGGAGGGACTGTGCCCCAGGAGTGGACCCCGCCAGGTGACACCGTGGGACAGCCAGCCCGCCCCTGGACGTGCCTCCCGCGGACTCCTGCAGGCCCTTGCTTCCTGGAGATCTGCCGGGCCGGGGAGCTTAGTGTCTGTGCTTTGTGTCTAAAGACAGATCAAGGCCTGGGCACAGGACGTTGCCCGGGGCCCAGTCTGCTGAGCCGGCCCTTTTGTCATATACTTAACGGGAGGAGAAGCATGTACAGCACAAGTGGCTGTGAAGCCACCGGGCACGACTGGCAGTCTGGGGAGTCGCACAGGAGCCCCTGAGCTCGCCTGCCAGCCTTTCAGCATGTTACACACCCTCATGAGCCACATGTTTTCATTTCCTGACTTCCCTGAGATTTGGGGTTGTAGGAATAAAATTAGGCTTTGGGGTGATCGTGGACTGTTCTTCCCCAATATGCATGTTAACTGGTCATTGAAGTCATCTTACAGTAGTCTCAGAAAACGTGATTTGAAAAATACTTCATTCTTCCACATATTGTAATTAAACATCTTTTTTTCTAATTTTATAGGGGAAATTTACCTGTTTTGCAAAGGAGCGGATTCTTCCATATTTCCCCAAGTCATAGAAGGCAAGGTTGATCAGATCCGATCCAGAGTGGAGCGCAACGCCGTGGTGAGCGGGCGCAGGCAGGGCGGGCACCACACGGCACGCCCAGAAGGGAACCCTGGCCATGGCCACCTTCGGCTCCCAGCCCCACCTGGAGTCCGCAGGGCCAGCTCGTGCAGGGCGGGGAGCTCCCTGCGACTTTGGCGGGGCACCCCTGCCCCAGGCACTCCCAGCACCTCCCCCCAGCCAACTTGGCACCTGGTCGTTTTGAGGCGCCAGGCCGTTGGTCAATGCTGAGGGTCCGAATGACAAGCCCATTTGTGGTGACTGTTGTGTTGGAGAAAGGGCTTCAGGGTCCCTTCAGAGGCAGCCAGACCGCTGTTCATCGTGGCCTCCTGCCGGGTTTCTTCCTGCGTCTCGGCTTGGAGTGCATAACTTCCTCTGCTCCCAGACTTCACGATGGGCTTGTCCCCCGATTCTTCCGGGGAGTCGGGGGGGGTCTTCCCTGAGGGCTGTGGGAAACGTGAGCTCACGTGTCGGGAAGGCTCTCTAAGCCCCTCAGAACCAGTGTCACCCCAGCATTCGGACGGTGACACGGCAGGGCTGTGGTGCTTCTCCTTAGGCCTGGAGTCGGGCCTGAAGGAACAAAGAGGGAAGCCCCTTAAATCCCAAGTCAGACCTTTGTGGCAGTGGGAACTTACTGGCAGAACAGTGTCCCCATGTGGCCCGTGGGCTCCCAGAGGCCCGCCCGCTGCACCTCGTGGGCCAGCACGTCCTGCGGTGGCGGCTGGGCCATGTTGGTCCTTAGATGCTGACTCGCCCTCTGAGGCCCCGGTGGGCTGGCGAGCCACCGAGCAGCTTCCCCCCTGAGCGCTACAGCAGACGGGCTGGCACCCCCCCACGCACAGCATGCTCCTTGACTGGCACGTGAGAGTTACCGTGAGGTGCCGCGAGTGCCCTGAAAAAGCTGAGTTCCTCATTTGTCAGAGTAAATGGATAAAGCGTTAGGTTTAGGGGCCCATGGTTTGTATTATTAATACCATGCTTATTCGTTTGAGAACTGTGTGATCTGTGGTGATGCCATGTGTTTAATGTGAGTGTAACTCAGCCATAGATGCCCTGTCCCTTGGATGGTTGGTCGTTTTATATTCCTTGGTTAGTCGTTCTAGTCCCTGAATCCCCATTGAACACTGCCTTGTCCCTCAGGAGGGACTTCGGACCCTGTGTGTCGCCTACAAAAGGCTGGTTTGCGAGGAGTATGAAGCCATCTGTAAACTGCTGCAGGCCGCCAAGGTGGCGCTTCAGGATCGAGAAAAGAAATTAGCAGAAGCCTACGAGCAGATAGAGAAGGACCTTATTCTGCTTGGCGCGACCGCGGTCGAGGACCGGTGAGTGAAGGCCACACCTGTCCCCAGCAGCCACGACGTGATGTGGCAGAGCTCCAGGGGGCTGCTCTGGGGGACGTCCCTGCGCCCAGCATGGACGTGGTCACGCGGCAGGACCAGCAGCTGTCCAGCGTGCTGTGCAGTAATGTCCCGGGAGGCCAAGATGGGGTGACGCTTCACTCCCCATGCATACGTGGCCTGAAACTCACTCCCCCGCCCCCGGACACCGGGAACTGTCAGCATTGCCATGTCACATTGCGTGTAGTCAGGACACCGGACTGTTCAAAACTGTTCTTTAGAATGGAATGAATGTGTAATTCTGTTCACAAATCTGTCACTAGTTCTTCCCAAGTATAGGTGTGACATTTAGATCTTAACAAACTTAGTGTTTCTGTACTTACTCATTGAAGAAATTCTAAATAACAAAGTAGAATATTGAAAAAAGCCAGTAATATGAACAACTGGTAAAATACCAACTACAGATTTTAGGTCACTCGGAAGAGAGCTGCCCGTCACATCCCGCGGCAGGACGGAGGATGGTCCTCTGCCCGCCACTGACCTGAGAGCGCAGGGAGGGAAGTGGGTCGCACTTTATTTTGAAACAAATGATAAAAAAGACCCCAAGTTAAAGGGATGAAGCAGACTTCAGGAAATGTACTGAGGATTCTTTTCCCATAAAGTTTGAAAGTCTTTGTGGTTTGTTGATCCAAAATTTAAATCCTTATCTCCAAGCCTACGTGTCCCCGGCGTCTTGAACAGGCATTTACCGAGTCCTCAACCCCAGGCACCGTGTTTGGTTTGTTCCTGTTTTTCTTTAAGCCCCGTTCCCAACTCAGCCCCCAGGAACCCAGGTGTAAACACACGGAGCACAGCCTGTGCACAGGGCGGCTTAGAACGTGAAGCCGCAGCTACAGGGTGGTTACTGGGGCCCTGTGCCGGGCAGGAGCGGGTGGTCCAGTGGGGTGTGTGTGCCCAGGTGGAGGGGGGGCGTGACGTCCTCAAGGGCCATGGGAGTGCAGCCACTCATCAGGACTTGGACCTCAAAACGTCTAGAGGAGCCCCCGTAGGCATGTGGGGCCAGTGGCTTTGAGTGGTGCTTTTTGATCAAAAAGTCCCTCTGACTCTCGAGCCAGCATGTTCACAGACGGCACTGGGCCTGTTTCCTTTAAAAGAAAAATAACAATGGGATTAGAGGTGTGCTTTTCTCTCTAGAATACTGTGATGACACATGGTCTCGAGTCTCCACCTAGGAAGCCTATCCCAGAATCTAACCAGTCATCCCAGTGAGAGCCCAAATCGGTTCCTTCCACTCAGACCTTGGCAGAAGCAGGGAGCCTTCCTTCGGGAGAAGCCGGACGGAAGCCAAGACTAAAATCTGGGGCGCATGCCAGGCCCCCAGATGAGGCAGCCGTGGTTTTCATGCCAAAGTCCCAAGGACAGGAGCTGGTCCACACATGGGAGGAGGTGCTAACAGCGCCCCGCCTGGGCTTGGTAAAGGGTGCTCCACGCTCCGCCTTGCCCGCTGGAAGGCCACTGTGCATGGCACCCGGACAGCGACTCACCACCAGCATTCTCAGTAGTCGTGCTGTTCAGAGGACCCCAGCTTCCACACAATTCATGGCAGCATCAGGACAGTTTATGCCAAAAGAAGAGATAATGAATATGCTGAACACCTTTTTTCCAGACCCTGTTTTTCCCTGCTTTAGCCCTTTTTGTCTGTGGCTATGACAGCTATTATAATTGCCTGAAGTCCTCCCCAAGTAGCTAGTCTGAGACAGAAAACTGCGTGCTGGGCAGACGTCAGCTACACCAAACAGCCCCATTTTGTGTATTTTCCTCGTTATCACCCGTGTCTACCCGTTGGTACTAGGTTTTGTTCTGGACTGTAAAAGCTCTGGGTACCGTATGGCACGATCGCCAGCCGGGGCCGCCGCTGCTCAGTGCGGAGGGGCCAGTGTGTTTCACGGGCCCCAGGCCCTGCCAGTGCTCTGACTGTGCATGTTTGTGCTGGCCTGTCTCTGTTTCCTTAGGCTCCAGGAGAAAGCCGCGGACACTGTTGAGGCCCTGCAGAAGGCCGGGATCAAAGTCTGGGTCCTCACAGGGGACAAGATGGAGACGGCAGCCGCCACCTGCTATGCCTGCAAGCTTTTCCGCAGAAGCACCCAGCTGCTCGAGCTGACCACCAAGAGGATCGAGGAGCAGAGCTTACACGACGTCCTGTTTGAGCTGAGCAAGACCGTCCTGCACCACAGCGGGAGCCTGGCCAGGGACAACTTCTCAGGGTAGGTGCCCCCCACCACCTCAGGGTCTCGCGCTCCCTCAGCTGCCTCAGCCGGCGCCCCCTCCCCGGGAGTGAGGGCTGTGCTCTGCAGCCGTGACGGCGTCAGCGGGTGCCCTGCAAACTCCGGGGCATGCCCAAAGCTGCTCCTGTTTAGCAGCCATGATGTGTCTGCATAAGAGGTGTGAGTGTGTCACGTTCAAGCTTCTGGCTGAACGATAGAGAAAGACTTCCTTGATTAATGTACAAACTGTTGTGAATTTGGTAATTCTCATCTGCTTCTAAGACACTCAGAGGCTGAAGTTTGGATTCCTCACGGCATCTGCCAGGGCAGAGGGAAATAATAAAAATACGTGGTCATTAGTCTGTCAAGGCAACACAGTGGATGACCAAGAGTTGATTTTTCCAAGAATATTCAGCAGTTTATTTGCATCTTATCAGTGCTGCTGACCTCACTGGAGTTCGGTGTAGGATCTAAGCCCAGACTTCATTTGAACCATTTTAGATTTTCATTAATGTAAGGGCAGCAAGAGCTGTTCTCTAATCATAAGCACATTTTAAATTACTTGTAAGTAGCCCAAAGATATTTCCCATCACCTGATCCACAGAATTCCTTTTGGGTGTTAGTGATGGTCCTTATAATTTTGAAACCCAGCAAAGAAAAATATTACCATGTTCTTTGCACCTCAGGCCATGCAGGCAGAATACCTGGCCCACGAAGGGACACGCACTGACCCCTTCAGGCCGCAAGGTGACTGTTGCCGAGAAGGACTGGCGCCTGCACACAGACCCACAGTTGGAACCCTGTTTGCTTTGCCTGAGTGAAATGAAAATGTTTAATTGAAACATGGCTTTAAAACGTCGTCAAAGACATTGTATCCAGTGCGCTGCTTACCTAGACAAATACTAACTTCTCAATCCTGGGTTCGGGGCATCTGTAGATACCCCAAAACAAGCACATCAGCTTCTGAAAGGGTAGCTGAGTGATCCCTCCCGTCTGTGTCCTCGGACAGGCTCTCAGCAGAGATGCAGGACTATGGCTTGATCATCGATGGAGCGGCTCTGTCCTTGATAATGAAGCCCCGCGAAGATGGGAGCTCCGGCAACTACCGGGAGCTCTTCCTGGAGGTGTGCAGGAACTGCAGCGCCGTGCTCTGCTGCCGGATGGCCCCGCTGCAGAAGGCCCAGGTCCGCGCCCAGCCCGCAGGGTCCGCTAGTGCCAGGCAGCGTTTTGGTCCCCAAACCACCAGTTAGTTCTTGCAGCCTCTCATTACTGAAATCCAGCAAGGCATCAGCTTTGTTTAAACAGCAGCAAAAGTGATAGTTTAAGGCCAGGCAGGACCTCACTGTGCGTGTCACGATTGGTCAGAGCTGACTCCGTCAAATGGGTGACCCTTTCCGTGCAATGGCCGAGAGATGTCCCTGTGCGACTTCTGTAAAATGAGACTGTATCTTAGAGGTGTCCTTGGTCATGGGGAAGGGTGGCAGCTCCATCCCCGAGTGCCAGCTGTGTCACAGACCCGGACGGGAGCCAGCTGCCCGTCACGGTAGCGCCCTGAGGTGAGTGCGGCCCCTTTCACAGAGGAAGCGTAAGAACAGAAAGTGGGGTGACGTGCCCAGGAGGGTACTCATCTGGAACCTGGCTCCCAGCCACCAGAGTCCAAGCTCGGCCTTGTGCAAGCGCACAGGAGCTGTGCCTTTGCCCATTTTTAAAACATTACGGGAACCGCTGTGAACAGGGTGTCTTTCCTACAACAGTTCTAGCTTCGAGAAACCACTTTTCAGACGCATAAGATGATTTCTCATGAATTGTTCATCAGAGAGACCCATAGTTCCTCACTGGCCTTGGGGTTTAGTACAAGCCTGGAAACCGTGTGCAAAGGGGTTGTCCCTGTGCCCTTGCGTGGGTACTGCACTCATCTGCCACGTGACAGTGTCACTAGGAATGTCCCACCAGGACCTGGCCGGCGTAGTTCTCGGAGAAGCAGCTCCGACTCAGAACCCGTGTACATTCCGAGATAAAGACGCCTCCCTCCCACCCTCCCTCCTACTTGTTTGCTTTTTTAAGTTCTTACCTAACTCGAGAATTTTTATACAAATCAGAAGAGACCTATCTTGAGATGAAAACACAGTCCACACATTCTTTTCCTCATCTTTTCAGTCTTCATATCTTGAACCATTATGCTTAGGCGCATAAATGCAAAAAGATCTCAAAGAAATGGATTCAACATTTGGAAATTAATTGTGTCCAGTTACATTTTTGTTTGTTTGTTTCTTTCTTTTATTTTTATTTTTATTATTTTTTATTTAGGTATCATTAATGTACAATTGTCCAGTCAGATTTTGATTTGATTTGACTTGGCACATGTGACAAATCTGAAAGTTAGTATTAAGAACAGCATATTTCAAAAATTAGATGCTTAGTGTCAAATAGCTTGAAGTAACAGTGTTTTGTAACAGAATAAAGTGTCCGATAGTTTCCCCGTATGTTTGCACGTCTCCCCCGTGTGCTCACATACATGTGTGTAGCAGTAACTGGAAGCCACTTCATATGATTCATATCTGTCTTCAGAGTTTGCATACCAGCCCTTTTCAGTTGAATTTATTATAATTATACCTTAGCTGCTCTAGCCTTATTTTGTTTTATTTTAAATATGAAAAAAATTTTATCTGTCAAGGATCAAAAAAACTCACTCTGAGTAATTTCTTCATTTTCCTTGACTGACCACGTCTGTGTTATTTCCACCCCGTTAGTGAATAGCCTGAGCAAAAAGAAAACAGAAGGTAAATCCTGCATGTGTCTCTTTTCCAGATTGTTAAATTAATCAAGCTTTCAAAAGAGCGCCCCATCACGCTGGCGATCGGTGACGGTGCGAACGACGTCAGCATGATCTTGGAGGCCCACGTGGGCATCGGTGAGCCGCGTGGTCGGGGTCACGTGCACATCCGGAGAGGCGAGACCCGGCGTTTGGGCGGCGCTGCGCGCCTGCGCGTTGGCGCCTGGGACCCTCCCGGCTGTGGCCCGGCTGAGCCTCCCTCCGCCTCCCCCCACTTGCGCGTGCGCGGCGTTGAGAAGGGGTTCGCTCCCTCGCAGGTGTCATCGGGAAGGAAGGGCGTCAGGCCGCAAGGAACAGTGACTACGCGATCCCGAAGTTTAAGCATTTGAAGAAGATGCTGCTTGTTCACGGGCATTTTTACTACATTAGGATATCTGAGCTCGTGCAGTATTTCTTTTATAAGGTAGGGAGCATGTCCCCGCCCTGCGCCCCGATTGCACGGCGACGGAGGCCCTGAGGACCCGCATCTCGGTGTGCAGCGTCTGCTGCGAGGGGACCCTGGGGCTGGGACAGTAGCTTGGGAAGGCATCGCGGGCCAGCCTGAGAGGAAGCCCCAGAGCCACCCCATGCCCAGGACCTAACACGGAGCAGGAGACGGCAGCTGGGCGGCTGAGGGGGGCCTTGTCCAGGACTCCTTGACGCCGCCCCTGAGTCGCCCCACGGCTGAGGCCCTCCCATCCGTGCCGACCCCTGCACGGCCTCGTTTCTCTTTAACGACTTCACGTTCGGTCGTGTGCTCAGAGCAAGCAGAACGTGCCCACGTGGAATCACCGTGCCGCCAACACACGGGCAGGGTCCACGCCCGCAGCCTGCCCTCTGAGCACGCAGGACGGTCACTTCCCCGGCTCAGGGGACATCGCGTGGACAGCCGGGAGCTGGACGCCCCCTCTGGGTGCTCCTGAACTAACAGGGCTGTGGCTTGTCTTTCAGAACGTCTGCTTCATTTTCCCTCAGTTTTTATACCAGTTCTTCTGTGGCTTTTCACAACAGGTAAGTCCTGACACCAGAAGGCAGAAGCCGCCAAGCCGTGTCCACGTTCTGCATGCGGTGGCTGCACTGCGGGGCGGGCATGTGGGGTGCAGGCCAGGCCCTGCACGGGGAGCCCTTGTGCACCCCGCCCCCGGGCAGCTGTGTCGGGCTCAGACAGTAGCCAGAAGGCTTGGCCCTACATCTAAGATCCTCTCCGGAGCCTCAGGGTTGGCCCCACCCCAGTGGGGAGAAGAGAGAAGGCCCCTCGGGGGACCAGGACTGGGGCAAGTGGAAGCTTGAAGGTGGTGATGAGAAGTGCGACCTTGATGGGACTTTTACGCTATCGCGAGTCTGCAGTGGCTGAAGGGGCGGGTCCCTGTCGGTCCCTCTGTCGGCCACCATGTAACGCTGACCCGTTGCCGTCATGAGGCTCTGCAGTGTGTGCTGGTCCCCCTCCATCTGTAGGAAGACGGCCCTGTATGCCTTTTAGAATACCCGTGCTTGTAGGTCTCTGCAAGTTAGAGATGTGTGTGTCCAAGCAAAACATGAAAACGTTTATGCGGACGCGGTGCTGTCCCCTGCAGACCTTGTACGACACCGCCTACCTGACGCTGTACAACATCAGCTTCACGTCCCTGCCGATCCTCCTGTACAGCCTCACGGAGCAGCATGTCAGCATAGACACGCTCAGGAGGGACCCTTCCCTCTACAGGTATGAGCCCCCAAAACCGGCTCCGGCGCGGAAGCCTGCGAGCTGCCTGACGGCCGCGAACCTTCAGTATCGTCCCCACCAGAGAGGGGGCTCAGTGAACGGACTCCGGGCTTCGGCCAGGGCCTGTGTTGTGCTTGTCAGTTCGTGCTGAGCCTCGCTTGTCTGGCTGCAAAAGGGCCCGGGACGGGTGTCACACCGAAGGGGGTTTATGGCGAGGTTGTCCTGAAGACCCAAGTGTATTCTATTCAGTGAGGAGAAAAAGAAGAGTCAGCAGGTCTGGTCTTGGTGCTGTTCTGCTGAAATCTTCCAGTAATAAGGAAGAGATAAGGAAGTGATAAGGAAGAGATGTCTCCCACTGTTTCAGAGCCAGCTCGGGACTGCTGGCACACTCGGTGTGTCACTGTGTTTGGGGACTTATTAAATTAAGCTTCTCATTTCAGAAAATTTTAGATCTGCGTGTAGCTGTAAGGGTAGAGAGAGGTTCTGTGAGCCTTTATCCGGCCACCTCCGCCGCTCCGTGTGGGCGGCACCACCGCCAGGCACGGCCTGCAGCCCTCACTCGGGGTTTGCAGCTTTGCTGGCCCGTGTGTGCACATGCCAGTTCTGCGCGGTCTTTGCATGTGTGGTCCCAGTGCACACACAGGCCGAGGCTGCCTGCCGGCCTTCCTCCGCATTTTAGCCACTCTGGGGGGTCCTGACGTGCGGGACCCAGACAGTCACCCCAGGTGACACCGCAGGCGCAGAGCCTGTCTGTGCGTCTGACGGCAGAGGAACAGGTGTAGGAAGACTGAGGAGCACGCAGGTGTGTGAGCCCGTCGGAGGGCGCCCTGCTGACGGGTGCAGGCTTGCAGCTGTGACAGGTCCCGTCGGGGTGCGCGGCGAGCCTGCGCCTTGTCGTCGCTGTGGTTGGTCGGGCATGCGCCCCTCCTGAGCTGCGGCCTCTGATGGCTCATCGCTGTCCAGTTCACCCCTCGTCTGTGGGGCCGCCCCCCGTCTTGCTCCCGTCCTGTGGGCCGCCACAGGGCTATTCCTGCCAAGAGGGCTCTGCTGTGCTTACTGCCCAAGGCTTTTCGGGGACCCGGTGCGGTACCGGGAAAGTGACAGCCTTGGAGTGGGCAGCCAGGGGGCGTCAGTGTGTGACGCTGGGGGACACCCTGGGAGGGATAAAGTCCGAGGCCCTCTGGGGTCCGCCCAGGAGTCCCCGTGGGATCGGAGCACCCTGGCCCAAACCCCAGGGAGTGAGCTCTGCGTGGGTGGGGGTGACCCCGAGTGGGGCACCCGTCCAGTCCAGGGCCTCGGACTGGGTTTCTCCACGACCCGCTTTCGCCACGTGGCTGAGCTGTTGTCAGGGAGCCGCTCGGGCCGTGAGTCCGGCGCATCCGGGTGGGGTCTTGCTGCAAAGCTTGGGGGAGGCGGGGGTGGTCGGCCACATGCACAGCTGCTTTTGATGGAGTTCAGTCGCTGCGTTCTCACCTCTTCCCTCACAGAGACATCGCCAAGAACGCTCTGCTCCACTGGCGAGTGTTCCTTTACTGGACGTCCTTAGGCGTGTTCGATGCCCTGGTGTTTTTCTTCGGGACTTACCTTATGTTTGAGAACACGACGGTGACCAGCAAGGGGCAGGTCAGTGCGGGATGGGGTCCTGTCGGCCACGTGGGAGCAAACCCCGAACCCCGTGGGACCGCAGGGCCGCGTGTTTCTGGGGGCACGGCCAGGGCTCCTGGTGCTGTGGCCACCGCCCGCCGAGTCACTGTGAAGGACGCTGCACGTGAGGACGTGCTGGCCCCACAGTGGCCTCAGGCGCACGACTTAAATCCACCGTTAGCTTTACCCAGCGGTTCAGTCAGATTGTGGCTTGCTGATATGGGAATTAATTTTATATTTAATGCAGTTTAGTATTTTTTCACATGTACTTAAGCTTCTGTTTCCCGTGCAGTGAGCCGGTTTGTAGTTCTAACAGATGCTCAGCTCTGGTTGTGTGTGTGATTTTGGGGGTTTATTTGTTTCTTGCTTTTTCCTTTTCACCAATCGCTACCCTCCCACCCAGATCGTGACTGCCAGCACACACACGGTAAGACGAGTGTGGATTTGTCCTTCTTGTTTTTGGAGTGCTTATAAATAAAATATTTCTTGAAAATATTTTCACACGTGGCTTGTATGTGGTCTGTCAGTGGACATCTGTCACTGGTGCTGCCCCTCCTCTAGAACTAGCCGCGTGGTAGAGACGTGTGTGCGCACTGTGTCCGTGGTGTTCTCTCTGAATTCCTGTGTCAGGATCGATATGTTCGAACATCCCGTAACCTTGAATAAGAGGCCACATGCTGGGCCGTGGGAGGCCCCGTGGGGACGCTGCCTTGCGGGTGGCAGACTGGGGCGTTGTGAGGACAGAGTGTGCCTCGGGATTGCTCCCCGCACCTCGCTGGCCTTGCAGATAAGCACGGCGACTGGCGTGGACGAGGGCTACTTGTGAACAGCGTTGTGCCGCTCCCTGTCGAACAGAATGCCCTTCTGCTCCCCTTCTTACTTCCCACCTTGTTCTCCCTTCACGGCGTCAGATTGAAACATAGTTTTGCTTCAGCCCCATGCTGTGTGTCTGCCCACAGATTAATTCTCTTTCTCATTAAAAGGTGCTGTTAATCTATCATAATGACCAGTCAGCTCATGCTAAACTGAGAATTTATTTTAGGTTCTTTAAAACTTTACAACTTTCTAGAATTTATTCTTAGTGTTAGTTTATTTTAACTGAATAATTCCTGGACGCCACCAGGCCGTAAATGCAGTTAAAGAGAACAGTCTTATCATTCATGTGCACCTTTTACACGGCTTCCTCGTGGGTCAGGCTTCCCATGAGCACCTTGCATGTGTCGCAAGGAGGCCGGACCCCAGGGTCGCGGTGCCGTGGTGGAACCGCGGCGAGCGTCCCTCACCCGGCATGTGGGCGGGCTGCACCCTCCCTCGTCCTCTTTCACTGCCATAGCTCTTTCAGTCGGATGTTTTCATGGTGTTAAAGTCAAGGAGACTGAAACTCAGATGGATCATATGACCTGTACAAGGTCAGCTGGTCAGAACCGAGACACGGGGCGCTGTTTGCAGCACCTGTTCACTCTGTGCTGCTCTTGATCGCTGTGACCTCAGTATCACACAGTGAAGTGACGGGCTCCACTCAAGAACTCCCCTTTGAAGTGGGCTTACACGGGGAAAGGGGCGCCCAGACGGCGGGAGTGCTGGCGGACTGCATGGCGGGCACGGGGTGCAGGCCCCTGGGGCCTCCCGGTGCTGCTCAGCCAGCACCTCCTCCTGCCCGGGCCCGGAGCTGTGGTGCGTGTCCAGCCAGACCTGGTCCAGCCTCGGGCTGCTGCAGGTCCATGGGGTGCAGGGATTGCTGCCCCTCATCCCGCCCACTCGTGTCCTCAAGGGCACCTTGAGCTCCTGCAGAACCTGAGTGCTGACTCAAGGATGATGTTCCGTGGCACTGCAGTGTCCCCTGTCGCTACCACCTGCACACCTTTGCTCAGCCATTGTGAAACAAAACCACTAGTTAGAATTTGAGCAAGACAGAATGCAGGCTGCCTGCACTGCTCCAGCTGAGAAAGGCCCGGGGCACCTCACCACTCGTGGGCCGAGGGCCTTGACAGGTGTCGCTCTGCTGGGCTTGCTGGCCTGGGGACAGAGGTCCAACACACTGAGCGCACATCCTGTGACATGAAAGGCTTCTGGTCCTGTGACACAGTTAGGCCCTTATGAGGAGAGATCGGCTGCGGCTCACTGACAGTCAGCGGGAGAACCCAGACTCGGCTGTGGGGGGACCGTCCGTGAGAGCCGCGGCTCTGGGGAACCCCGTGTGAGGAGCGGGGGTACACCGTGCACCGCTTCATCCTGTGTACTAGGCAGGCAGGCACCCCACAAGGCTGGGACGACCGCAGGCCACGCCAGGCAAGTGCGCGACCAGGCCAAGTGCCTGGTGTTCTGACTCTGGGCCCGGCGCTGGGCCTGCGCGCTGCCGGACGGGCTGCTCCACCCTAGATCGTTGCTTCTCCAGTTCACGTTTGTCGAGGAGGGAAGTGTTCTAGGGTCGCTTACGAAACTGAAAGTGGGAGTGTAGCTGCTTCTGTAGTAATTGGAGCAAACCTGCAAAACTCCTGTGGATCAAGGGGCAGCCCCGGGACGACAGTGGCAGCGTCGGCTCGTGGGCAGCAGGGCTGTTTGCTGATTGTGATGCGTGTCACGTGCAGGCAGTTCCCCCTTCCGAGTGAGAATGTATGTTCCGGGGTAGCAGGTCAGACACCCCATTCTGTTGATCCTTAGGAGGGAAGGACCAGGTTTTCAGGACCCAAGTCATTCCACAGGAACTGTATAGGTGATGGATGGTGTTGAGGGAACAGCAGAATCATCAGTGACTTTTTAAAAAGAGAAAGCCATTTATGGAGCATTTTCTGCACAATTATTTCTCCTTTTTGATGCCATAAACAATAATGATTTTATTATTGTGGAACAGCAGTCTGTTCCTAGATGAACACTTGAGAGTTTGGAGCATGTTACAGTAGAAGCACAGGTGAAGTTTGGGAATCAGAATGAACGGTGCCCGGACCCAACAGGTGTGGTGGGATCTGGGCAGCACCGGCGTGCGGAGCGTTGGTTTATGACCGCGAGGACACTTACATTTGTGATGAAATACTTTCACACAGAAAAATCACCCTGATCTGGGTTCGAGGACTTTTTTGAGCAGAAATATTTTCTACAGATACTCATCCTCAGAGGAGGGCAAGTAGGAGGGGCAGGGATCGGACCTGGGCCCACTGGGGGGGCCCTGGCGGACATTCTGCTGGAGTGCCCGAGCTGGTGCCCCTCCCAGGAGGCCCAGCGCCCATTAGAAACCAGACGCAGGCCTCGCTGGGGCCGGAGGACTGATGGCCTGCGGGGAAAGGCCGCCCCTGGGCTTTTCCGAATCTCCTGAAAGGGCCACCCAAACCCTTTCAGAAAGTGGACCGGAGGCCTCCTGAGCCATCCCACCTCCCATTCCAAAAACCCACAGAAGTGATGGCGAACAATTTCAGTAGTAAATTGACTATTAGTAATTTCACCCAGGGTTCCCACTTGAAGCAAATAGGGAAGGGTACAGGGCTGTTTACATGGTTCACATGACCACACGCCCCGTGAGCCAGAGCAGCCCACCAGAGGGCCAGGTGACGGCAGAGCAGCCCGCGCTGCCCTGGCTTCACAGCCAGACCCCCAGTTCTGCCTCGGGACCGAGTGCTTGGTTGCCGTGCACCTGTGGAAGTGACAGCTGTGGCCGTGCGCTTCACTGCACGAGGCATTGGGAGCCCCACTTTGTATTCCCAGGTCTGCTGTAACCCACCAAATCTGGGGAGCCTGGCAGCACCTGGGAGAAGCAGGGATGAGGGCCTTGGAGCTGGTTGGAAGTTGGTCCCTGGTTCGTGGTGCTGTGGGTCATACCCTACCACTCTGCTGTGCCTGCTGCCTTCCCACATTTTGCTGTTATCTAACATTACTTTTTTAAGATTCCCACGTTGCCTACCAAGCAGGGGTGGCAAACACAGGGCCTGGATGTGAGGCAGTGGGGCGTGGGCAGTGTAGGGCCCTGCTGCCAGGACCACAGATGCACCCACACAGGGTTCTCTCACCTTCCTGCAGGCTCAGCGTTTAGTTTGGTTAAAACTGATTTCCAATGAGAGAAAAACAGCCACATTGTTCTCCAGCGGCCCCTGGCCAAGCACTTTCACTGGTGTGGACATGCTGTAGCTGGTCTCAGAGTCACAAAGATTCCCTGCCCTATAGTTTCCTAAGCATCAAAGGGTGCTCTGGTGAGCGCATGCCAGGTTGCCCAGCCCAGACACTGCGGCTGTTTGGGGCCAAAGGGTCCCTGCATGGAGCCTGGCCCCTGCCTGCCCAGTGCACACAGCACCCCTCCCACCAGTCATGAGAACCAAAATCGTGTCCACATACTGCGGGTGTCCTCCAGGGCACAGATCGCCTCCGGGTGAGGGTCCTGGGCCGTGTGGTTCTGCAGGCAGAAGCCAAGTTGGGGTGGTGATGAAGTGAGAGAAAAGGGTGTGGACAGCGTCCATAGGGCCCACGTGTGCACTGCCCCCACCCTAAGCAGGGTTTTCTCCTGGACTCCCACAGGAAGGCTCCCGCACCACTAGGAATGTCTGAAGACATACAGCCCACATGCTCCCCTAAGTTGAGTTACGTGCACGTCTGTGGTTCAAAACGGACCATAGCAGAGGGCCATTCACCTTCCAGCGTTTTAATTCTTTGTGAAATGAAGCTTTGCTTTCTCATAAAGAAGAACTAGGAACATTCAGAGTCACAGCTCACAGCACGTGGCAAGCCAGAAATAGGCCAGTTCTCGGTGGTCTTAGAAATCCTGAAGAACATGGCTCCTGTGGAATCCCATGGCTGGGATTTCCCCTCCAAGGGAGCAGTAGGTATTTCTCTGCCCGTGTCTGTGTGTCCTGAGATGCGCTCTTCTCACGGTGTGACTCGTGTGTGCTTCCGCCTTGTGGCCGCCCCCCTGCACCCTGCAGCTCCTCCGGGGACCGCGGGTGTGTTGTTGCTCCGGCCGTCAGGCTGGCTGTGGCCTTCGTGCATTTGTGCGTCTGTCGGCGTCTCCCTTCCCTGTGATTCTCCTGGGGAAAGCCCCATCGCGTCACCCACACATGGCATGGCCCTTCTCTAATTGCTCAGTGGCACAGCGTCCCCACAGCAGTTTTTCTTCCGGAGCAGGCAGGGGTTTGAGTTCAAAGGAGGAGAGCCACAAGCTCTCCTGGGCTTCGTCTTGGACTAAGCAGGCTGGGGAGCCACACTGTGTGGCCCTGCGGAGCACGAGACGGAAGAGGCGGTGCGTCAGTCCTGTCGCCCCAGCCTGGCCGTCTGCTTTGCTCTCGGTTCTCACTCTTGGAACTGATGCTTCTTGGGGGCTCTAGGGGGCTGGGCCGGGCGGTCCCAGGTGCACACGAGGAGGGCTCTGAGCCCATCACTGCCCTCGAGGTGGCACCCCACGGTGTAAGAGTCCCAAATCGGGGGGTTCTGAAGTGTCAGCATGCGAGAGCAATGAGACGGAATCTCTAATGGTTTTGGGAGTAAAGAAGGGAAAACACATCTTAACGTGACGACGTGGACTGTTTTGCCCCCAGATATTCGGGAACTGGACCTTCGGCACGCTGGTGTTCACGGTGATGGTGTTCACGGTCACGCTGAAGGTAACCCCTCCCCTGGGTGCGCCTCCTCTTCCCGCCAGCGCCCCTGCCACGGCGGGCCCCCCTGCCCGTGAGCGCCGAGGCCGGGAGCCTCCACTGCTCGCGGCCCCGACGAGCCCCAGGCCTCCCTCGGGTCATCTGCTCGCCACCTAAATGGGCCCCCTGCAGACTGCACACCCGTGACCCCACACACAGGCTTCCAGGGTCACACAAGGCTGGTCAGGGAAGGAACCTTTTCTTTATAAAGGGATGCAGATTGAAATCAGAGAAGGCTTCCCAAAAGGTCTCATTTTAACTGAAACCTGGGAGAAGGTCAGCCCATAATAGGTCACATTTAATGAACGTGTTCTAGAGTGCTCACTGCACGGTGTCCCATTCAGTCCACGTTCCCCACCCAGCAGTGACAGGGCAGATTGAGGGGCTGCCGGCTGAGCTGGACTTGGGTCCAAGGCTGTGTCTGTCGGGCAGAGCCCTGCTCCTAAGGAGGGGGCCGCACGTGCCAAAGCCCTGGGGCAGGGACCTGGTGGAACTAAGTCCTCTGTGACCACGGAGGTCCAGCTGGAGGCAAGCCGGCTGACCACAGCGGGCCTGGAGCCATGAAGGACTGAGACCGGTTGTCAGATGCCATCAAGGATGTAATTCTTAAATGGCAAGCAGCCCCTCCCCCAATAAAATTAAAACTAATGTATCGTGGGGAATTCAGCTCTTTCAAAGCGAAATTCTATATACAACATCTTGAGAGTCCCAACACCTATCAACCTGAGACTTAAAAAGCACCACAAAGAAAACCCAGGAGAAGCTGCCTGGGCAGCACGACCAGCTGGCACCATTGCCCTGAGCCCCCTTGGCTTCTGGGGCACATTTCCCAGGGTCTGGTGAGAGGTTCTAGGAACATGGGTAGAAGAGCCATGGCGTCATGTCCTTTTCGTCCACTGAAAGTCTGTGGCTTCGTTTTTCCTGCACAGTCTCACATAGGTGCTTCGCAGAGATTCGGTCGGTGGCGGTCTGTCTCTGGCGCTGCTCTCTGCTTTCACTCCCAGGCTCCTAGTAATGCCACTGCTAATCCCCTCTTCTTTCTTTTAGCTGGCACTGGACACCCACTACTGGACGTGGATAAACCATTTCGTCATCTGGGGGTCCCTGCTGTTCTACATTGTCTTTTCACTCCTCTGGGGAGGAATAATCTGGTATGAATTTGACAAATGGTATATGAGTATTACACCCCCAGCGTCCTGCACTATCCTTCCAGAAGGGCTCAAAGTGCATTCTGTAAGCCTCATGCCCATGTGCAAGGCCTCGTACCAGGCCTGGGCACCTGGGGGGGTCCCTGCTCCTTCGCCCCCATGTCCTTGGTGGGGGACAGATGCTGGTAGTAAGTCACGTGTCAAGTGAGGAGCAGCTCCAGACACTATAGCAAGGGACCCATTTCAGAACACAGGTCGGAAAAGGCTTCCCAAAAGGTCTCATTTTAACTGAAACCTGGGAGAAGGCCAGCCCGTAATAGGTCACATTTAATGAACGTGTTCTAGAGTGCTCACTGCACGGTGTCCCATTCAGTCCACGTTCCCCACCCAGCAGTGACAGGGCAGATTGAGGGGCTGCCGGCTGAGCTGGACTTGGGTCCAAGGCTGTGTCTGTTGGGCAGAGCTCTGCTCCTAAGGAGGGGGCCGCACGTGCCAAAGCCCTGGGGCAGGGACCTGGTGGAACTAAGTCCTCTGTGACCACGGAGGTCCAGCTGGAGGCAAGCCAGCTGACCACAGCGGGCCTGGAGCCGTGAAGGACCCAGACCTGTTGTCAGATGCCATCAAGGATCAGCTACACAGCCCTGCACTGAGCAGGGAGTGGGTCCTTCCAGACGAGGGAGAAGAGGCTGTGTTTGCCTTGTGTTCTGGTGCTCTTATACCTTCGTGTGCAAGCATCCTTTGCCCATGCTGTCAAGAATGTCCTTTCCAGCCAGCCTGCCTGGTGAGCTCTTACTCATCCTTCAGAACCCCGTGGCTCATCGCCCTCTTTGGTGTGCCCTCGAACCTCACCATGGGGAAGCTCCACCTCATCCCAGCCAGGGTTCCTGCCCCCATCACAGCCGAGCTCTGTTTTCTGCAGTTTCCACATTCATCCCACCAGCTCATGAGAAGAGCGCACCCTGACCAAGGCTGGACAAGGGAGGTGCTGGCGCAGGGCCTGAGAGTGCCTCCTTCAGCTCGCATGCTGGCCTCGCCCTGGGCCAGACGGAGGCCAGGGGAATGTTCCCCCAATTTGCACACCCAACTTTTGGCTCAGCCACCGCACGTGGTCCCCTGCAGTCTCTAGTGGCCAAGGCCACACACTGCATGCTCCTTGAGGCCTGCGGGTTCCCACACCTGCCCCCCAGGACCCCAGCTTCTCGTGAACTCCCTGGGCTTCATCCTGAAAAGTTTGTGACTGGCTCCTGAGCCTGTGGTTGGGGACTCAGGAAACTAACTAGGGGCCACCCCCATACTGTTAAGTGCCGCATCTTTCCCAGCTTCTGTTATGAAGCCCAGTAGACCAGCTTCTTTGAATTATAATTTGCCTGCTAGGGAAGTCATTTCATGTCCCATATTGTGTAGAAAATGTTAGGCTTTTTTATGGCTTGAGCTCAGGTAGTCAACCAGACGTTCTTATCAAAATGTGTGCTTATCTCCTCCTGTTAATAGATGTTGATCAGGCCGTGTTTCTGAGATACAGAGCAATCACTGTGTTCATCTTTTCACATCTTTTTTGATATTGTGAAACTGAACAGAGGGTCTGACTACACAGGATCCCTTCCTCCTTTTCCCACTCACAACACCCAGCCGGGCAGGGCGAGTCCTGCATCCCACTGTCCATGCAATCAATTCGAAGCAGTCGGCCTGAATGGGGGCGACAGTGTAAAAGCTGCCGTGACGAGAGAGCTCTTGGCGCAGGCCCGGGGAGCGGAGGGCAGGGCTGCCTGGCCGCCGCGCGTGGCTCCCCGCCTGACTGTCGTCTCCTCTCCTCCACACTCCAGGCCGATCCTCAATTATCAAAGGATGTACTACGTGTTCATGCAGATGCTGTCCAGTGGCCCCGCCTGGCTGGCCATCATCCTGCTCGTCACCACCGGCCTCCTTCCTGATGTCCTCAGGAAAGTCCTGTGCAGACAGCTGCGGCCCAGTGCCACCGAGAGGGCCCAGGTACATGCCCGCGTGGCGCCACCGCCCCGGGGCTCAGGGGGGGCTGTGATAGTCGGAGGGCAGCGGAAAGGTCCCGGCTGGGAAGGGTGATCAGGCCCAGCGTCCCTGATGACGCCCATGGTGATTCCTGGTTTAAACATTGACCCAGGTCAAATCGCAGACGACCAGCATCCAGACCTGAACAGCCAGCCCCTGAAGTGGGGGCAGAGTTAGGAAGGGACAAGCGAGTCAGTGTGAAAGACAAATCATTTTGTGTAAATCTAAATACTTTTTTTAATGAATCACTTCTTTTAAGGTGAACTTAACTATTTTTAGAGATTGTGAATTTGCCTCAAAACTTTAGCAGTTATGTTACTACTGGTTTCCGCACTCCCAAAAATCGATTCTGTATTCAGGATGTGAGATGTGAAAGTGCAGATCGCTGCATGTTACTGGGGTTTCCCAAAACCACTCGCCCCCTGCCCGTGATCTCAGGAGGTCATGCATGCCCCCACTGCCCTCTGCAATCTCAGGGAGGGTTTGTCCCCCCCAGCGATCTCCCCCAGGGAGAGCACACCCCCCAACCCTGTGATCTCTGGGAGGTCTCGCCCACCACCCCCAACCCTGTGATCTGCCCCTGGCAAAGCAGAGCCTCTCTAAGGAGGGGGTGGTCCTGGTGAGCGGGCAGAGGGCCACAGCAGGGCAGCCACAGGGAGGCGTTTCTGAGCAGGTGGAGGGTAGGGAGGGAGGGTGCGGGGCAGAGATGGTTTGTACATTCCAGGACCAGCGGAGGGTCAGTCGGTGACACTTACGGCCCTGGGGTCTCACTCTCCAAGGGCTGTTGGCCAGTCTGGGATGGAGGGCAGGCAGCCCTGCCCCCACGTCTCACGGGGCCTGTATTGGCCCCGCCTCCTCCTATTTGCCACTCACGCTGGCGGGGGGGCTTTCTTAGAGCTTTGTGCTAATTTAAGATGTTCCTGGTGGGTCCTGCCTCAGTGCCGGCCAAGCTCGCAGAGTTAGTGAGAGCGTACACTTTCCCCGAGCTGTTTGAGGCCACCGCTTCTCGGGTGTACCTGACGCGGCGGTGGCAGGGCAGGAACAGTCCGGGAGGGGACTTCTGCCGCGGGCTGGGGCGGTAGGCCTGAGGGTGGCCCTTGAGGTCGGTCACAGCGCCGTGTGTGCCGAGCAGGACAGCGCGATGTGCCGGGCCAGGTGGGTGTACACCAGACTCACTGCCTCTGTTTCTCTCTTCCCTCTACGCCCCTGTCCCCCGGTTCTTTGCCTAAATAACACCACCACCTTGCTTGGCGATGTGCGTGGCCCCTCCTGAACCTCCGGGGACTGCAGGCCAAGACCCAGTGCCTTTCTGTCGAGCAGTCCACCATCTTTATGCTCTCTCAGACTTCCAGCGGTCTGAGTTTCTAACGGAACAAGGTGACGCCTTTCTGTCTTCTTGCATGTCGGGGTTATGGTCACAGGACTGCAGAGGGCTCTCTGGTCCCGCCCAGAGCCTCGCTTCCTGTCACCCGGTGGAGCCGCCGCATCGGGGGTTCTGGCTGGCTTGTACCTGGAGGTGTGGGGAGCGCATGTGCTCTGCTCTCCGTCGGTGCCATTAACCAGTGTCTCTCTTGGCGTCCATTGGAAGTATCAGGTCCCCCGTGCATCTTTACCCAGGCGCAGCCAGGGACCGATGTCACACAAAGGCTGGGGGTGGGGGGTGGCCGCTCCTGGGTCCCCAGGCCAGGGGCGAGCAGGGTGACCTCCAGGAGGCCTTCTCTGTGCAGCCCGGAGGCCGGCTGCTCGCACTGCCCTCCGGGAGGCCATCCTGCAGACAGTTTCCTGCAGCCGCCCGGTGGCGCCCCGTGACCTGCAGAGTGACTCAGGGGAGGCAGGGCTGGCCGAGCCTCACGGCTGTTCTCAAAGCAGAAGAGATGGGCTTGGATCAGATATTTTACAAAATTCCCTTTTAACTTAAAAAAATCTGATTGTTTTTAGAAAAAGCCTTTGGCCTTGTTTTAAACGGGTGCCATGGCTGATTTCTCAGCAGCACAGCCTCTCCCCTGGGCACTGCCTGGGACCAGAGACTGTCATCCGGAGCCAGGATTTCAGATTCAAAGCGTTGTCTGGGGGCTGTTTTCTGTCTGCTTCCCAGCAGTTTGCTCCTGTACCTGAATATGCATTCGTGGGCCTCAAAATTAATGGCATTTTGAAAACGCATGTTTGGTCAAACTACTTCACAGAGGCAGCCTGTTAGGTGGGAAAAATGCTTAAAGCAAGAAAAAGGCTTTTTTCCTTTTTGAGCAACAGTTCTTCTATGTATTTTAAACACTATTTTTTAACAGGATGGCACGTTTTTTAAAGTTCTAGTAGTCATTGGCAATCAATTTTTCTAATCTGGTGCCATCAGAATTTGTTAGAATAAATTACATAATTTCATCTCACTATTTATGTACTTGAAAACATTTAGGATGAAATTATTAGAAATATTTTAATAAGTCCCAGGCGATGCTTATGAAAGTGATTTGATTATGCCAACTCAGGGCTAAAAATAACTCTGAGAGCAGTTTATGAGGAGTTGACTTGCCCCTGGGCCTTGTGGGGACCGGGCTCCAGCTGCCGGGAGAAGGTCGCCACTGAGCGCCCCGTGGGGCCCGGGGCTGCACCCCAGAGTCCCTGCAGCCAGTATGCACAGCATCCACCTCTGCGGCTGGAAAACCACCCAGACTCTGCAAAACTCTGGAGGAATAAACATTTGACTGGTCCTGATGCGGACTATATTGTACTTTAAATGGACGGATATCTTTCCTTTCACCTGTTCTATTAAAAAACTTCACAGGTACCAGGCTTCCTATACACATGTGCACATGTATACATATAAAGCCACGTATGTGTATTCATATGTATCTGTATCTGTCACACTTGTTTCTCATATCTGACCCCCTGGGGACCCAGCAGCACCTCCTGCCCCCTCCTCTCCCCACCCTTCGCCAGAAGACATTCTGCTTGTGGTTCTTTGACTCTTAAAATTCCCTTCTTGCTCCTGAGCGCTGGGGGGTGTGACTCAAACACCTTAGCGTGTGACCTGCGACACCCAACACCCTGGACCTCCAGGATGCTGGCCTCAGGCCAGGAACGGCTATTTGACTAGAGACAGACAGGGAGGGACAGGGACCTGGGGCCCCTCTGGGCGAGCCACCAGTTCTGCCTCGGGGCTCTGAACATACCGCTGCCCCGAGGCCCTTCCTGGGGGCCTCCTATCCTCGTCCCTTGGCCCTTTGCTGGAGGCGGGCTCTCATAGGATGGCCATCTCTTCCCACACCCAGTGCCCTGGGCCCACCCCACCACCCCCACCCCCGAGTTTTGCACAGACTTCCCAGCAAGTCCTCCTCATGCCGAGGGGTCCGGAACAGGTCCGGCTGCACAGCGACCCAGAGAGCAGACCCCGGGCAACCCTCTCAGTGTCTTTCCTCGCCTTGCAGAAGAGCGTGAGACTCAAAGCATCGGTCAAGGCCACGCCCAGCACGGACAGGCCACTTCTGAAGGACCTCTTTCGGCCGAGGCGCAATTAGCAGCAGGATAGGTAACAGCGTCCACCGTGCCGCCTGGCAGGTTCCCGGGTGTGCTGTGATCCTTCCAAACTGTTTTTCCTCCAAAGTTTTGCTGTGCTGTGCCATTTTTCAGAACAGTGGCTCACAATAAGAAAAATGCCTTTTACACCCAAGGGTATTTCTGCCCCAGGTAAGTGACCTGCTGAGCAGGCTGGGCCGCATGTGGTGGAGTGCTGTGTGCACGGGCGTGGGCACACGTCCCCACATGGGTGCATGCCCATGGTGCCGCCTGCCTGGGGTGCTCCGTCTGCCTGAACAAACCTCCTCCATCTTCCTTGGTGTGGAAGTGGCTTCGTCCTAAAGGCCTGTCAGGAAAAGACCGTGTTTTGAAATAAACAATGCAGTGTTGCACGACTTGCCCTGAGGCTCGGCCAGGCCAGCAGGCCAGCAGCTGGGTGTGGAGCTGCGTGCCTGAGGCCGCCTCACTGGATCCCGAGCTTGGTTTCCAGGGGGACAAGCACTCCAGGGATGTTTGTTCCTTTAGCGTAGGTTCCTCCTGTGCTGCGGGCCCATTCTCCTCCCTGCCCATCAGGCTTAGCAAGTCTGAGACACATCGCCGGCCTCCTCGGGCTGGGATGAACCCCCACAGACCATGTTGGCCTGCGCACAGGGAGAACTGGGGGCCTGGCACGCCAGGTTGGCACAGCGTGGCCCCGGCCTCGGGGTAGTTTCCCACTCCTGCATTAAAGGAATCAAACTTGGGCCTTGGGCCTCTGGGAGGGAGGCTTGTGCATTTGCACACCTCGTCGGTGGCCTGGCGATGGAGCCGGCAGGGCAGCCCTCCCACCAGGACACACTTAACACTCTGCATTCACTGTGGCTGTGGCTCAGATGGCGGGCATGCGCTGACCCTTGCCTAGAACGGTGGCCGGAAACCTAGGGAGCCGAGTCTGGGCCCCGCAGCCGTGTCAGAGCAGTGCCGCAGGTGCCTGGGGAGGGTCCTGGGCCAGCTGCCTTCTCTGCTGTCTGACAGGCCCCATGCATGGGGTGCCAGGACCACCTCTCAAAGCCCACCCCTCTTGCCTCTGCAGAGCCCCTGCCCCTCAGCCGCGTGGCGGGGCTCCCACTCGAAACAGGTGATGTTGACGTTCTGGGACAGCGAGGAGCAGCCAGCCCTCCCTGCCATCACCGGCCCCTCAAGCCACCTGCACCCTTCCAGCTGGAGACCCTGCTTCCGGGGCCCCACAGGGGCAGCTGATGGACAGACCACTGGCTGAGGCCTTTGAGAACCACTTTCCTTGTCATGTGTCGAGCTCCCGGAAGGAGGGCGTGCACAGGATCTGCATGGGGCCTGGCAGTCCAGCTCGAGTGGGAGGCAGTCACCCCACGGCCACCAGTAAGCACAGACATGGCTCACCCTCGCCGGGGACGACCAGCTGCATCCCTCTGCCCTCCGACCTCCATAGCCCCCCGCCACCTCTGCTTTGGGTTGGGCTGGGCCTGACGTCCTGATCGTGTGTCCTTTTGCCATCAGCGTGTAGACCACTCTGCTCCTGCTGTTCAGCACCGTCCCTGTGGTGAAGCTGACGTCTAGGCCCGTGTCTGCTTCGGTGTCCGCTCCTCTGAGGGGGCATCACCTGTGTTGGCGGGTGACTGTCGGTGTTTCCCTGTCTCCTTTCCTGATCCCAGCTGCCTCTGCAAAGAGGAGTATTCGTGGGCGAGGAATAGGGAGCACCGTCCATTAAGGTTTCCTCTGTACACGTCTTGGGGTATTTTCGCACCCCCAGTGGCCAAGCTCGTCAGTTCACTGCTCTGGGGGAACGGTTGTGTCACAGGCCTCAAGGGGAGCACGGGGTCTAGGGTGCACGCCTGCCTGTGATGGTCAAGCCCCTTCAGTGTCCTCGGGAGGCAGCCTCCAGGGCCCGTGTCCATCTTCCAGGACCCTTCCAGGCCGACAGGGGCCTCTGATCTCCAAGAAGCAATATCACCGTCCCAGACTGCTGCCCACCTCGTACGTCCGACCATGCTGTGCCCTGCGTGTTTCTGTCAGATCTCTGCTTTGTGTCCAGTGTTTATTTGGCGCGGGGAGGCCATCACGTGGCTGCCGTGTCGTGCAGTTCCTGCCGCTTCTGGACTGGTGTCCTGTTTGTGGAAATAGCCTGTCTGACATAGCCTTAATGGTCCGCCAAGAAGACATTTCAGTTTGAGATCCAAACTTCAGGTGTTAAAGCCGATGCCTTTTTCGAAAAGTGTCCCCCAGAAGCTTCATCTAGAAGCAGGCACCTTGCACACTGCAGGAGTCCATGCCAGGGGCTGGTGCGGGCGCTGCTGAGTGAATCTGCTTCAGAGAGGCTGAGATGTTAGGTACCTTTGAAAGTTCAGATTTCACAACTTGATTGTATAATTTCACCTGTCAAACACTGCTTTGAACTGAGTTAGTAACAGCAAGAATGATGTACACGGTGTGGTTTGGAGAAGCTAAGGTGAGGTATAAACACCATACCAAAGACTAGAGTGACAGGCATTTGGCCCGGAGCAGACGGGGCGCGGAGGGCAGCGCTCCATCCCGGGCCCCCCTCGCCGCGCCCCCCCAACCCCGCATTCTGTGCATGGGGCCCCAGCCACCTTGTCCGTGCTCGATCCTGAAAACAACAGTGTGTACATTTTTACAGCTGTTTTTAAGAACCAAAAATGGGTATAAATGTAATAGCTGTAGGGGGACAGATTCTCTGTATGTTTAGTTAACAGATTCTTTGTAATGTATTTTTTTAGAAATCTTAAATTGCCTTTGCACTGAAGTACTTTCATACCTGTTTATATCTCTTTGATTCCTTTGTTAACTTACCATATCTACCTTCTGAAATATGTTTTTAAAGTGCTTGTTTTTTAAGTTGATGACATTTTGGCCACTTTATATTTAAATTCTGGTGACAGTTTTGGCTGAATGTCTCCGCATCTGATGAGTGTGAATTTTCAGATGGAGTCTCCTCTCCACGGCTGCCGGCTGCGTGTTCCTGGCGGCGGCTGAAGTCGCAGGGCGTGTTCAGTGCATGACAGTCTGTGCTCACTCCTCACAGTTCATTGCCATTTGACCTGCTTTTTATTTTGTTTGTAATTTCCATCCTTCGGCCTTAAAATAGAAGCTTCTTGCTTGATGGTTCGCACCCTCCCTGCACCTGTACTGGGGCAGCTCCCATTAGTGTCTGGTAATTCAAGTCTCGTTGCAAAAGTCACTAAACCTTTAAACACTGTAATGTCTCTTAAAAAATGGTTTGGGAAAGCAGAGGTTGTGCTGATAACTTGAAATAGACGAGGGGCATGAGATAAAAAAGATGGGGAGAGAAGGGCCCCCCTGAATGACATTCCAGGTGTGACTCAGGGCTGATTCCACCCCTCAGTAGCTCCTATTTACTTGCCTTAAGCTAATCTTAAAGTAAGTAACATGAACTTTAAGCATTTTTCTTCACTCTGAAAATCTTGCTCACGGCTACATGGTCACTAAATTAATTCGTCCTTTCCTGCATTGGTCTGACTCTTGCGTTGACCCGCGTGCTCCATCCTGGGGAAGCCGGTCGTCTGTAGAGCACATGGGGCTCTGGTCACGTTGCAGCCCCTTGCTCTCACCCCTGTGTGCTCACAGCCACGTGCACGTATGCAAGCCGGCATGCACACACACCTGCTGTTTCCCAGGCCCTGAGCACCTAGGGGACCTGCCGGGAGCCCCTGGCACCTCTGTGTCTGTGCCTTGAGGACACTGCGGCAGCCCGGGGTTAACACGGGGTGCTGGACACAGCGCGGGCAGATCCCACCCCGTCTCCTCGGGAAGGCCAGCTGCCTCTGCTGGCAGCCCCACCCTCAGGACAGGTGGCGGGAAGCAGCGCCTGCACCCCCAGCTGCCAGCTCCCCGAACACATCCTGAAGGAGAGATGTCCTTCCCGTGGCAGCTCCTGTGGAACCCAAATCAGCCCCTTCCTGTGCCATTTGACGTGCTTTGGGGGAAGCAGACCAGACGCCTGGGAAGGTGTGGCCTGCAAGACGGGACTGGGAGCGGAGGCCAGAGACGGGCAGCCTCTGCCATAGCAGGTTTGTGGGGCTGTAGTTCGGCCTGATGAGATTTTGCAGCTCCAACTACATAAATGTCTCATTCTTGCTGTTACAGCTTTTTTCACATTGTTGGCCGTCAACCAAACGTTCCGTGCAGCCTAAAGCAAGTTTCTCAAGTCTTTTTCTTTAAAACCACTAAGTTCATCAGTTTTGCACAGGCATGTAATGATCACATGTAACCATGCCTATTTTATCTTTAGAATTAATGTTACTTATTAACTCAGTGTGACGGCTTGGTAGGCAGGTTCTTGTGTTTTGAAGTTTCCCCCCTTTGTAACTTTAAAGACAGGAAAAATATCATTTGGCAAATGCATTTTTTTTTTTTTAAGCTCAAAGATAGGTGAATGGGAATGAAAATTATTCTGTCTGTAAACGAAGTTCTAGGGAAGATGTGTTGGAAGATGTGATTCTACTTTTGCAGGAAAAATCAGTTTATATAGATTTATTTTTTATCTTGTTGAAATATACAGAATTTTAATATGTGTATACTGTCTCTGACTTAAAGTTATAATGTATCTGGCATTGCCATTTAAAGTGTCCATTCATTATGTAATGTAAGGAAAGAGAATCTTCAAAAATGTATTTAACATGAGTGGTCCCCATAGTTGTCATCATCATAAATACTGGAATTTATTTTTAAATTATTGAATATAGTAAGTGCATTTAAGATAGTAAGTCAGCCTCCTAACTAATGTTTAATTGATAATTCATTAACCTGCTTTGAAAAAATAAAGTGTGAATTAAACCAAATCTTACAATTCTGTAAAGTTTATTTTATATGCTACTGTTTTTAACTTTTGTTTCTGTAGCTAAAGTATGACTTGATAATATTAATCATATTGGACTTCTCTGCAGATTATCTAAGCAGGACACTTGAATCTACTTGCAATAAAGAGGAACAAATGTCTGGTTTACTTTCTTTATAAATTTCTAAAACTCACAGGAGTCGGGCTTAAATTTCTGCTGGCAGACGCTTCAGAGGGACAAAGCCCTCAGGGGGGTGCAGTGGCCACTGGGGATCAGGGTGCACCAACGTCCCAATTCTCCCAAGGGGCTTCTGCCCCTCTGGTCCTGGTAGTGCTTGGGCCCCACCCCTAGCGAGGCCACAGTGCCCAACTGAACGGGAGCCACAGCATCCGTCCTCCCCCCCAACCCCAGGCTCCTCCCTGGCCATCTGCCCCGGACCCCAGCCTGCAGTCACGTCCCTGGGGTGTGAGCCCTTCTCTTCTCCAGATTCTTCTCCCTTTCTGCCTCCCATCTGCACCCCAGGTCCTGTGTGGGTGTTGTGGGCTCACTGCCTCCCCTGCTGGGGGCTCTGGGGCCACCCCACGCCACTGGTGTTTGCCTCCCACTGGCCATCTCCTGTCCCCCTACCCCCTACCCCCAGCAACTTGTCTGAAGACTAACCTCAAAAGCCCCCACAAAACCTGACAGCAGGTTCCAGCCCCTGGTACTCAGCCCCAAGCAAGCACACAGTGCATGCTGGGTAAGATGCTGTGTGGGTGACCTTCACTGTGGGACCAGACCCGCAGCCCCAGCAGGAGGCACATGCTTGCTGGGAATCCAAGGGCTGCCTGCAAGCCGTTTTTGGTTGTCCAGCATCTACACCTGCCTCAGGTGACCTGAATGTGTGACCACACCAACCCGGCGGCTGGGACAAGCATGTTTGCCTTTCTGACACCCAGTGCTGCAACTGGCAGGCTCAGCAGGTGCAATCGCCACCCTCCTGTGTTCACACAAGCACTTCATTTCACTTGGTGGCACCTCAACCTAATCAACAGCTGTACACAGTTTCTCCTTTTTGGCACTAAGGGAAATGCCACTCCAACACTCTGATCGTAGTAACTTCCCTGGGGAAAAGGCTGGTCTTTGCTCGATTTTATTATTCAGGTATTGGAGTAATTCAGGAACATGTAATCAGGTGAAAATTTCTAGCTCGTGAGACCTGTTAGTCCTAATCGAGCCTGACGGGCCCAGCAGGAATCAGAGAAACCCACGATCAGATGGATTTCTCAGTGAAGACATCAAACCCACCAACAGTGGGCAGGTGTCGGCCAACAGCATCTGGAGTGGTGGCCCAAGAAATTCATGCTCAGTGCCCCACATTATTCAAGGCAAGCCCCCAAAGGGCACCCCTTAGGACTAGAGGCCCATTTGCTTCCAGTGTGCCCCTGCCCCGCCTGGGCCCAGTGTGGTGGGGCAGGTGTGAGACACACTGAGGGTGCCCACTGTCGCTGATGGGGCCGAGGCGTTACCGGTCACTCCTCACCTTGTGTGGGGGGCGGGGTGGGGTTGCCCCAAAGGCTTATTCATCGTGATACTGTTTTGCTTATTCATCGTGATACTGTTTTGCTTATTCATCGTGATACTGTTTTACGAGCAGGGCCTTTGCATCGAGGATTTAAGCCTCATAGTTTCAGACACTAAGGGAACTTGGGAACACATGGAAGGCAGGCAGACCTTCCTGAACATTCCCTGGACACAGAGACCAGTTGGGAGGCCAGTGCACAGATGGGGAGCTGCGTGCTGGCCTCACTGCTGTCCACATGCTCCCAATGCACACGCTTGTGAGAAGTTGGGTCTCCAGTTTCCATGGGATCCGCACAGGCAGACTGCAGTCCCCACCTCGCAGGACAGCTCGGAACACACACGAGCCGAGGCCCCAGGCGCGCTTGGAGCACAGGGTGGTGGCAGGCGCAGAGAAGCCCTTGCTGTGTCCCTGTAGGCTGTGCAGCTCCATGTGAATTACCCCTCATGCTTCTGTCCGTGCCCTTTCTACAGCCCCTTCGATGGTTACTGACTGCCTCTCTGGGGCCTTCCACAGCCCGGAGAGCCACTGGGCCACGACCAGCCACCCCGAAGGGCGCCTGCTGCTGTGGAGAGAGGCTGAGAGGGGCTTCGTTCCCGGACTTCACCTCTGGGCTGACTGTAACTTCAGGATTCACCCTACAGTTTCTAAACAGCACAGAACATTCCCGTTGGCAGATCAGATGCCTGCTGCCCTGCTCAGCTTTACACACCTTCCAGGCAGGTGGCCGTGAGACAGCACTGTGGGCAGAACAGCCTGGGGAGAAGTTTTGGAGCCGCCTCCTCGTTTGCCCCTGGGAATCAGGTGTGATGGTGGGAGGGACAGCAGCTACTTTGTGGCTATGAGGACCAAAGTGACAGGCTGAGATGGCTGAGTGGGAAGCTAGAAGAGCTGAGGGCCTGAGACATCACTGAGCTGTTACACCAGCCCCGGGTGGCCTGCCTGAGTCCAAGTAAATCTCTTCTAAGAAGTGGACAGCGGGGGCTCCAGCAAGTTTCTGGCAGCAATGTAGTCCTGCATGCTCTGCAGGGTGGGACGGGCCACTACTCAGGCAAGTTTGCCACTTCTGAAGCCACCTGCTGCTACTGGAATGAAGAAGGTGTCCCCCAGGTGCAGCCTCGGCCCAGGTGTGTCCAGGCCCGGCTTTCAGACCAGGTCTTCTGCAAAGCCAGGCATGTTGTGCCTAATACTTCACACTTACTTGCCCACAGGTGCATGTCCATCAAAACCAGGTGGTTTTCCTGCAGTATTGGGCCTGTACCCTGGGCCATCAGATTTTATACGCACTGATGTGAGCCCGCAGGGTGCTGTCAGCCCCCAAGCAGACCGGCCTCTTCTCCTCACAGCCAGAGGCTCTGGGCACAAATGCCCTCTGATGTACATTCAGCAGTTTGCCCGGGTTTCTGCTCGCCTCCATGCCTGGCTGGCCAGGGCGCCACCGCCTGCTCCTTTCCTCCCGCTGCAAGACAGGGGCTGGAGTTGGTGTTGGTCTGGCGGGGCTGGCATTGAAGTCTTACATGCAGGCTGAGGTCCTAGAGGAGGAATCGGGGCGCCCTATCTAGGACTGTGCCCAGATAGTACTTTCCAAGCTTGACAAGTGGAAGAGGCCTCACCCCTTGTCTCACGGCGGTGTCCACGGGCAGCCGGTCAGGGACACTTCCAGAAGTCTGAGGCGCTGTCCGCTGGGGGACGCAGGGTCTCAGAAAGGGAGCCCAGGCTGGCGTCCACCAGCCAGGAGCAGTCCAGGAGCGACTCCGGGATCGCGGAGGGCTTTGTGCTCCATCTGTGAGGAGCTACTGCGGCCCGGATGGGAAAGGCCTCCTCGGACCTCACAGTGCTGTGTGGCCCCTCAGCACGCCTCTGACTGGGCAGACGCAGCCCGGCCGTCAGTTTCCAGGTTTATCCACCTTTTATATTGTTCCACTTTTTATCTGTGTTTACATAGTACGTACGTTTGCATATGCATTTTTACTACACTTCTCCACAGGTTTTTATAGCTATGCAATTCTGCAATTTTATTGAGATTCCCCAGACTTGTGACTTTACAGTTTTCTTCTGTCCTGCACCTCATATCCTGATGGAGAAGGTCCACTTTGGATTATGATTTTTGTGAAGTTAATCAATACATGTTTCATCTAAGGTAATGATTTGGCCAATCGAAGAAAGCAAGTTCAGCTTTTCCTTACGGCTTAGAGTTTTCATTTTATAGTTAAAGGGCCCTATTTGTCTTCTTCAAGCAGAATTTTATCATCGGTTGTGCATATGCACATTGGGAAAATGAAAGTAACCTGCTTATGGTTTCCCCAACCCCCTTCACACCGGGCCTGCAGCTCTCCTGGTCCTAGACATCCTGCCATCCCATTCATTTGCATACACGCATCCTGCCACCCCCTGTTCCACACATGCACCCCGCCATCTCCCGCTCTCCTTGAGGGTTTCTTGGACCCAGCATGACATCAGAGCCTCCTTTGCTTACAAACAGCACAGGGTGCCAGGCAGCCGCATGTAGCCTCCACCACCATCAGGGGGGCTCCTTCTCCAGAGGGGGTGGGGAGGCGGGCCGTTCTTGAGGACAGACTGTCCCTGCCTATACAGAGGCAGGGATGTGCCCCCCCCCACCAGCCCCGGGCCAGCTCACAGAACAATAGGAGACTGCAGGGAGGAAGCCGCCCATTGTTCTCCCCAGCCTCAGCTGTACAGCCCTTCCCACTCCCCCTGGTTTCTGTCTGGTCTGTTTTCTCACCGGGAGGGGTGTATCGCTCTCCTGCCTAAACAAAGGCTGGGCACCTGCCGCAGAGAGGGACGTCAAACCTAAGAAGTGAGTAATTCACGCAGTGCACACACTGCCTGCTCTCGGTGGTGCCAACCCCTGGTAATGCCCAACCCTTTGCTTCCAGGCTGGGAAGTCAAATCTAAGATATGAGGAGTGGACACACACTCAGGTTTGCTGAATGAACACAAGCATTTACAGATGGGAGGTGAGCCGTTTACAACGTGAACCTCTGCTTCCCAGGCCTGGGATGGGGTGGGCCTGGCCAACCTCTGTGGAAGGGGCTTCAGGGCCCTAGTGAGCAGGGCTTCCTGCTGCTGCTCAGACAATGCATGTTTATCACCCTACAGTTCAGGTCACAAGTCCAGACCAAGGTGGGGCGGGGTCCTCGTGGAGGCTGGGGTATGGGGTGTGGGGGGCCCTACCTTGTCCTGTCCAGAAGCTAGTGATAGAATCTGGACGGGAGTGCCACCTTTGTGAAAAAGCCCACCGGCCACCTCAGAGAGACCTAGGTTTCATCTTACTTGGGCTACAAGTGTCCTCCAGAGGACACGCCAGCAGGCCACCAGCCCACGTGTCCCCTGACCCCTCCCCTCGAAGAGCCTCTCAGCCCCTAAGAGGTGCCTTCTTTATTCTGACCAGAACAGAGGGCTCCTGTGCAGCTTTAGTGATGAACCTCCTGGGACTGTGGAGTGCCATCCTTTTTCCTTTCAGTTCCATCGTGGCAGTTCTCAGTCTCTGCTCTCGGTGCTGCCACCCCTCCAGCCTCTGCCCTCCTGCAGCCATGGGGCCCAGAGCACTGGGCAGAGCTCTTTATATATAGTAAGTATTAACATTTAGCCCACACGTGTGCAGCGAGCAAGCCGACCAGGGCCAGGTGAGATCCTGCCACAGGAACCTTCACATTCTCCAGCTAACCGGAGACCATCACTCTGTAGGGCTTCCGTGGACCCCTGCCTGGACGCCCACCCAGACTGGCCCCTCCTCCCACCCTAACAGAGGGGGTCCTGCTGGCACTTCGTTCTGACAGCATACTTGTCTATTGCTTTTGGTCATTAAAATAGCTTCAGAACAGACTTCTCCCCTCCCCTCCTTCCCCTGCTCTCCAGCCCCCCACTGCGTCCCTTCCTCCTCTCCCCACCCTTCCCTCCTCTCTGCTCCAGTGAGGGCGCCAGCATGTGCTGCTGGGACAGGGGCCGCCTCTCCTGGACGTCCTCACAGGGCTTCACTCATCCCGAGGGGCTGGTGCCAGCCCTTTCTCCATGGATGTGTGTCCTTAGCCTGCCCACGTGGGGTGTAAGCCCCATACAGGCAGAAGCCCACCTTGCCCAGCCCTGCACCGCCCGGAGGTGTGCAGGACTCGAGGTGGGTGCAGCCTGGGTCCCAGATGCCTTGAGGACCTGCACCTGCTGCTCGCCAGCTCGGGGGCAAGGCTGGGCTTTCTTCAGAGCACCTTTTCCGTTGTAGCCCCTTGACAAGGCAGTCAGGAAACACGGCGGCCTCACTTCCCGGGGCCCTCCCTGCTCAGGCCTGGCGCTCCGTGACCACCTGTGACCGCCCACAGCAGGCGCATCTTGCCTCTGGAGCCCCACCTGCGTCAGAGGGCTGGCCGAGTGCCCGCCTCAGGATGCTGTTTCTCATCACCTTCAAGGCTTCCGTTCAGGCGGTTGCTAAGAGGCGTGTTTGGTCTCTAGGTATAGGGTTACTTCCACCGTCCACCTGGGCTCACCTGGCCTCCTGTGCCAGGACAAATAGCTGTGTCCCGCTTCTCCTTTCTGGGAGGGGCAAGGCAGGATAAGCTGGCCTGGGCCCTGGACCCTGCAGCTAGATTCTCCTTGTTGGCTTTGAAACTGTACCTACAGCCCTTTACCAGCTGTAACGGACTTAGGAGATGACGTTCCAATGGAGACATTTTCCTGAAGCCAGCACTTGTTTTCTGGGTCTATGTTTGAACATTTAAGTTTGAAACCTGCCTCTGCCACTTACCACCTCTGTGACCTTGGGCAAGTTACTGAACCTCTCTGTGCCTTGTTCTGTAGAAGAGGGTGAAAGCAGTGCCCCGCCTCCCAGATCCTTGTGAACACTAACCGGGTTCATACCGCGGGAAGCGCTTACAAGGTCCCGGGGACACGTAAGTGCTCAATAGATGTTGGGTGGTGGTGCTATCCTTTAGGCAACTATTAAATGATTTTTATAGAAATGTAAACCCCATTTGTGACATAATCTAAGGTGAGAGTAAAGGTTCGGTAGAGATTGAGGAGAAGGAGGGGGAAGGGGATTTACTTTAAGTGACCAGCTCCTGGGACTGTGCGGCTGGCAGGTCTGAAATCTGCAGGCAGGGGGCAGGTGGGGACCAGAGGGGAGGCAGGTGCTGCAGCTCAGGCCCGCAGGCGTCTGGAGGCAGGGGTCCCTCTTCCCAGCTTCCCAGCTCCCGGAGACCTTCTCCTCTTAAGGACGTCCGCTGCTTGAACGAGGCCCACCCATGTCGGGGAAGTGACGGCCTGACTCAGTCTACTGACTTGCGCGTTAATCAGTCAAGAAATGCCCCACAGCCACGTCCAGACTGGCGTTTGGGTGAACTCCTGGGCACTGAGGCCTGGCCAGGTGAACACGGAACAGCAGACACCACTCAACCCTGGGCACAGCCAGGTTAGCGGCTTGGTCCCAGAAATGTCGCCGACGAGAGGGGCCTCGGAACAGAGTGGGGGTGCAAGGTGTCAGGGAACAGAGTGTGAGCGGCGAGCTCGGCAGTGCCGGCGGGGCTCAGGGAGAGCGGGGCCAGGGGGCACAGGGCCTTCCTGTTGTCGGTAGAAAGTTGGTGGAAGTGTGACCAGCAGAGCCAGCAACACTGGGATTCTGCTAGAAATGCACGTTCCCAGCCCCCCCACCCCCCCACCCCGCTGCGTAAATGCTGTCACCTCCGTCCTTCTACCCCTGGGGCCCAGCTCGGTGTGGCAGTCGCCATAGCACGACGTTGGCACACCCGTTGTATGACATGAGCTACAGCTTGGACCTCAGCCACGCAGTGCTCACATTTCCCAAACCGTTGGCGGCAGTGCGCACGTCTTCCCGGATACTCCGGAGAGGATGGGCGTGCCAACTCCAACACCAGCCACAAAAGGCCGGCGCCCCTGGGTACGGAGAGCCCTTCCAGGCGCGCCCGCACGCAGGCGTTCCTGCCCACCTCCCCGTGTGGCGGCCGCCATGACTCGCACCTGCCGGGCGAGGTGTAGAATGCACACGGTGGCTCCCTGCCAGCCATGGCGAGGTCGCAGAGCCCAGCCTGCTGCGTGCGCTTCCTCACCGCGCCCCGCGACCTGGGGCAGGCGGCGCCCCTGCCGCGGACCCGCCACCGACCCACCGACTACGGCCGCCCAGCGGCATGCGGCCGCGCGGGAAGGGTGCGCTCGGCTGCTGCGGCCTCTGCACCTGCACGGTGACAGCCGCAGGTAAACGGGGGGCGGGCGGCTGCCGAGCCGCCTGGAGTGTGGCCTGCCTGCGTGCGCGCCTCCGGGGCAGGGCGCAGGGACCCGGGGCCGCTGCGCCGGGTGCCCACACGGCTGGGTCGCAGGCGACCTCGCGGGGTGCACACGCGGGGCTCCCAGGTGACCTCGGGGGGCGCACACGCAGACCTCCCAGGTGGCCTCGCGGTGCGCCCGCGGGGCTCCAGGGGGACGCGGGGACGCGCGGGCGGGCGCGCGCCGCTTCCGCTTCCGCCGAGCAGCCCCCCGGCGCAGGGCGCGCCCCTCGGCTCGAAGACCAATCCCGGGCAGGGAGGCGCGGCCGTGCCCCCTCCCCACTCGCCTGCCGCACCCATCGCGCACCTCCTGGCGCAGCAGCTTCCGCAGAGCCGCGGGTTCCGTCGGAGGATGCGGTTTTGGCTGAGAAATGAGGAGATGGCCCTGGAAGAAATGGTGCAGAGATTAAACGCGGCTTCCAGGCGCACTGGTAGGAGGAGCCGCTGGCCTTGAATTCCGTGCTGAGCTTGGCTTCACGCGTTGAGCGCAGGGATGCGTCTGATTCTAGGGTGGCAGCCCTCATGCTTTCTTTTCCTAGGGCGGTGCGGCGGCGCTGGCCGCTGACAGGTCGCCAGGGCCCTCGGCGCGGTTCTGTTGCGCAGAGCGTAGTTGAAATGGTTGCAGGTGGGTGACCACAGCTTTCTAGGATCCGCCGCGGCAAGGGAGAAGCTCAGGTGTTTGTGCATTGAGATGCCCGGAGTCCGGGGCTCTGAGAACCTGGTGGAGGGGTGTGGGCCTCTCAGAAGCTCATTTTGAGGAGGAAAATCCGGCTTAATCAGGTAGTTCTTCTTGTCATTAATGTAAACCCAAGACAAGTGTTTGAAAACGGCGTGGGTAAAGAATGGTAGAGGAGCATACTTGGAGGTTTATTTTCTGTATTAATTAAAAGATTACTTAAAATCAGCCTGGAGGAGCAGTTTGAATGGATTCGTATAGGTCTAAGAAACACTGAGCTGGCCCTGCCTTGCTGGTGGCTTTCAATTAGTCGCATCTGAGTTTTTGTGCTGCAGGAGGAAAACAGTCTGCATGAACTATTTTTCCTTGAAATGAAGAGGAAAATAATCATGTATCATTAAAAGTAAGTTGCCGGGTTTTTTGCTTGATTTTGCCATGTATTGTGTTATTTGCCCTTCTAATACTTTCTGAGGATTAGATTTTGTCGGTTATTTGGTTTAGACGTGGTATCTCCCCCCTACCACCTCAAGTAGAAGATCCCCCGACCCCGATTTTAAGAGCAAAGCAATGATTAAATCAGTATAAGCATCATTGTGTGTATCGGTCTGACCAGGGCTTTTGGAGACATTGAGTTTTTAATGGTGGTTTTGTGATTAAAGCTACTGGATTTATTGTATATGGGTCAAGAGAAAATAAAGCCACTTTGTGCCATCTGGCCTCTTATTCTGAGAAAGGGAGCTGCCTTCTCCTGCTTGGCTGAGGTCAGGGCAGGGGGCGGCAGATTTGCGGGGTCATGGGGTGCCCCCCCAACCGCATCACCCCGGAGCGGGAGGTGCCTGTCTGCCCCTCACGCCCTTCACAGCGTCGCAGTCAGGCGTGGGGCCGCTCCAGGAGTGATGTCATCCCTGGGGTTTAGGGAAAGATGCGTGCGTTCTGAATCATAGAGGGGCTTTCTCCAGAGAGGGGGCGACACCGACTGCTCACTGCATTGTGCAGAGCCAGGCCTTCGTGCTTGTCTCATCCTGAGCAAGGACTCCCAAACGTGTCCCCTGCCACATCTGTGCTGCCCACAGTTGCAGATTTCATCAAGACCCTTGTGAATCCAGGGGCACAGACGCTGGCTCTGAAGCCCCAGGACCTGTTAGTTAGGGGACAGGACCCTCAGGTACAGCCCTGCCCCTCCGGGTCTCATGGCCACCTCCAGCACAGAGCCACCTGTCACTCAGGCTGCAGGGGGCCACGGGGCTGAGTCCTGCAGTGTTGATGCAGCTCTGTGCCGGCGCCTGGGGCCTGCACACATCGCCCTTGGGGACACTGATGCCGGCGGGCACGCCCATCACCCCAGCTCCAAATCCCAGGTGCACCCTCTGTGGCCAGTGGCTCTTCTGGAGCCCACGGAGCCCTTCCACCCCCACAGCGTCTGGGATTGTGGGCGGGCTGGTGGCGTCAGGCCGTCGGCCTGTGTGCTGGTGTAGGGCTGGGGGCAGGGGCCTCACCCCTTTAGGACTGAATCGGTGCACCTTCCGCGGGGCTCTGCGCCTGTTCCCGCCCCACAGAGCCCACCCTCCGTGGCCGCCGGGACCGACAGGCGCCTTTTGTCTTTGCTGCTGCCCCAGCCTTAGATTCCTGGGCTGCCTCTGCTGCGTGCAGGACGTCCACTCTCTGGGTTGGTCTGCACGCGAGCGAGGAAAAGGCGTGCCTCCCGTGCAGTCTGCGAGGGTCTGACTCAAGAGGATCTAGATGTGGGTGCTCTTGAGCCTGGTCTCTAATCACCAGGAAGGAATACTTCCCATGGCTGAAGCCCCCTTCTAAGTGGTGGGGCTCCTTTTCCAGCATTTCCATTACATGGAAATTAAATGGTTTTCTCTTTAGATGTCCAGTAATTAGTGAAAGAGTAAGAAACATCTTAGGAAGAAATGCTAAGGGGTCTGGGTGATGTAAGCATGTGCGGAACGCCAAGGATGGTGGATCTCAGACTGGAGCGTACGGACCGTCCGACGGGATCATCGCGGATGCCAGGATGCCACCCAAAAGGCTCCGATCAGGAGGTCTGTGCGAGGCCTGGGAATTTGCACTTTTAAGTTCTCAGGTGATGCTGATGGTCCAGGAACCAAACTAGGAGGACCACCACAGTAGAAGAATCTCTAAATCTAAGGCCACCTCCTCCACTGGTTGACCTTAAGCAAGATACTAACTCTTGTCATGGATGGTGGTGCCGGATGGGTGGGGGGATGGATGGAGGGGTGGGCAGTTGGATGGATAAATGGATGCGGTTGCATGCAAGACAGTAAAAATATAAGCTATATCATATTTTAAAGTTTTAATGCCTCCCAGTGAGGACACACAACTGTCGACTGCGCGTGGAGGGAACAGATCATCGGTTTGCAGCAGACAGTGGGTGATGCGCCCACTCCACGGGCTGCAGTGCAGGCCTGGACTCCTGCTTCCTGCCCGTTTCTCACTTTTGAAGCTAAATTTCAGCCAGAAACTCAGCTGCTGTCATTTTGTGGGGCAGGACGATGTGGGGCCCCAGTGCCGCCAGCCCAGCAATAGCCGAGTGATGAGCATTCGTCTTCCTCCGTGCCCCTCCCAGAGAGCCCGAGCATGCCAGGGGTGCCCGCTGTAGGCCGCAGCTGCCCATCCCCCACCTGTGCCTCCACCCATCCCCCCACCTGCCAACCCTCACCCACTCTCTCTCCCCCCACCTGCCCACCCTCACTCCTCCTCACCCACTCTCTCTCCCCGGACCCACCCACCAGCAAGGAGAAGGAGACGTGTGTAGGTGGGTGGGTGGAGGTCCCTAGAGAATCCCAACTAGAACAGTGAACGTAGCTGACAGACCTGATCTGTGAAGTCTCTTTGTCGCAAAAATGGACATTGTTGGGTAAACGGGACAGAAAGCACACACACAGCAAGCCCGGCACACAGCGCGCTCCAGAGGGTGGGGCTGCCCCTGCCCCCAGGGCCCCGTGCTCCTCCGCCTTTCGTGGGGCTGCAGGGTCTGGGCTCTTCCTACAAATTGCCCAGCTTTGTGGCTGCCAACTGTTAGCTTGATGAACCCCTCAGTCCACTCCCGCCCCTGGGGGCCCTGGCCCCCACCTAGGGCAGCCTGGCTCCAGCCGAGGACGTGGCATCCCGCTTCTGGCCAGTGGTGCACCCACTTCCGCCGGGGAGCTCCTTCTGTGCTCGTGATGGCTCCAGTAGCGGCTCCCTCGGCCTCCCTGTGGGGCTTGCTGGGGCCCTTCTGCTGGGGCCTTGGTGATGCCCATCACGCCCCTGGGCCCCTGACTGATGCCAACGCCCCATGGTCAGCATCACCCTGCTGACCTCCTGTTTGCTCTGTACCAGACTGGGTTGCCAGGCCCCCACCCCTCACCCCTGGGCCCAGTGAGGAGGCTTCCGACAGGCTTGGTCAGGAATAGAAGACGGCACTGCACCCGTTTCTCAGTTGTGCTAAAATGGAAACAAAATAACTTACATTAAAATAGCTTACCATGCATTATTGAAGAACATAAATGGTGCTGAGGGAGATACTTTCTTGAAAATACAAGAGTCAGGCGAAGTTGCTTTCTAACCAGCTGTTGGCAGTTGCAGCGGGGTGCTCCCTTCAGCCTGGCTTCCTCCCCAGAGCTGGGCAGTGCTGGTCTCTGCAGCTCGCTGGGTACTCCTTCGCGGGGTCCTGGAAGCCAGCCTGCACGCCCCCAAGTACGTCAGTGACTGTTGTCGGCCCAGCAACCATGAAAGATGTCCTCCCCGATTCTGTTCTGTGGGAAGCGGTAACTTCCTGAATTACTCCAGAGAAAACTTCTAGAGGCAGCGAGTGTGGAGGGAAGGAGGGGATGGAGGGCACCCCCCGGCCAGTCAGTACCTCCGGGCCCGGCTCCCCTCCACTTGGGCGGGGACGCGATGTGCTTTCACCTCACTTACCTCCCCCTTGTTAAGTGTGTGATTTTTATTTTCAGTGTTTGCTTTTTCAATAAATAAATAGACCACATGTGGGCAGTTCCTGAGTCAAAGAAATCATGTAGTCTTCTACAGAACTTAACTTTTGAAAAATGATTTTTAAATCTTATTTTTTAATAAAAGGGGGAATTGTTTTTTTACCAAATAGGAATTGACACATAACGCTGTGAAAATTTCTTTATTATCTCACCCTCTGGTGCTCGGTGCTCAGTATCTCCTTTCATCTGTCCAACCACCCGAGGCTTAGCCGCCATGCCCATTGTACAGACGTAGAAACTAAGGTTCTAGCGAGGGAGCCTGCAGGCCAGCCGTGGTCAAGCTGGTATGGCGTTTCCCATTCTGCCCAAATCCCAGTATATTCCCTTCATGTCACGAAGTCTGCAGATTGTATGAAGCTTGTGAAAGACTCGACCGAAGCAAAGCAGAGGTGGTCAGTTTAAAATTGGAGAAGGTGAGCGTGCTGCCCACTCCGTCTCCCACCCTGGCGGTCCCACCGGCGTCCCCCATCTGTGAGCCTGGGGCCACCACATGGCGCCTCCTGCTGGCTGCCTCCCTTCTGGCTCAGGTCACCCCGCCCCCGGGAATGAGCCTCACCTGCCTCTCCGTAGCTGGCCTGGCAGGTGTGTGGCCCTGGGGTAGCGTCATGTCTGGGCTTCCGGGAACCAGAGCCATGTCCTGCCGCCAGTCGCAGCACGATGCTCCTTGCAACCAGGAGTCTGCCAGGTGGGGTGCTGAGGCTTCTGTTCCCCAGGCTTTCTGGGGGCTGAAGCCGCGTCCCAAGGGACCTTGGGC